CCAATTAGTTGAGTCTCCTGTCTCAAGAAAACAGAAAACAACATCAGAACAAACCTGACATGAGCAGAGCAAAGAAACAGAGAGAGCAGAAATTGAAATGGTAAAATAATAGAGAAAGAAATCAATGAAACAATGACAAGTTGGGTCAATTTGGCAAATATAGAAAGAATATTCAAAACTAAAGAGAGGAGTTGGGAATGAGCGGAGCTACGAGAACGGTGAGAGTGAGAGTGAGGATATAGTTCATGGCTGGAGAGCTTGCTCAGCATGCTCATGACCCTGGACTCAATCCCTACTGCTGCAAACTATAATAATAATAATAATAATAATAATAATAATAATAATAATAATAATAATAATAATAATGGAATACAAATAACAATGTCAATTTTATGTTCCTGAATTCCATAGCTTTCAAGAAATGAGCTGATTCCTTGAGAATAAACTTCCCAAGCTCAAAATCAAGTGTGTAAAGACTTGACAATCTGAGTAACCCTCTAATCACAAACAAATACAATTACAGAGCTGGAGAGATGGCCCAGTAGTTAAGAGCACTTGCTGATCTTGCAGAGGACCTGGGTTTGGTTCCCAGCACCCACATCAGAGACTCACAATCACTCCAGCTTCAGGGGATCTGACATCCTCTTATGGCTTCTGTGTGCACACACAGTACACATACATACACTCAGGCATGCACACATAACATATACATAAAATTTTTAAAAGAGATACAATTTGTAATTTAAATGCTCTGGAATTTCTCATAAAATTATTAGGAAAAGATAATGAAATGAGTTTTGAACCTGTAGACTGAGTTGACTTCACAGCAGAATTCTGTCAACATTTGAAGAAAACATAACACCAAACTCACATAGTCTCCTCAAAACAAACAAACAAAGCCCCAAGCAAACAAATAAACAAACAACAACAAAAACAGATGAGGAGGTTCAGTTCTCAATTCCTTTTAGCAGGTCAATGCTCCTCAAATGCCGAACTCAGATTCTTTTCAAATGCCCATTTACAAACATGCACAAAACACATAATATTCCCATATGAGAGAGTCTATAGTAAAGGTTTATAATTTCCAATATAAATAACTGTGAGATCCAAATGTCATTTGGCAAATATCCCCTTTGTCTTCTCCAAAACTGCTCACTGTCCCTGGTCTGCCTTTTTCATCATGGCTAACCTGGGATTCTTCATTTTAATCATGCCTATCAACAGGGCAAAATGAGGGAAATCACCAAGAATAATCTTGTCCCCAGTGTGACTAACATCTGTGCACTCAGTGTCCTGCTCAGCCAGTTGTAAGGACTCCAGTTCTCTTTATAAGAATTCATTGCCTGTGTTGGGGAGATAACTCAGTGCAGAACACACCCGCCGGGCAAGTATTGGAACCAGAGTTTTGATGCCCAATTCTCCAGTAAATGCCATATAGGCCTGCCTGTAATTTCAGCATTGGCATGTGGGGTCCAACAGATGCTGGCTAGCAAGATTAGCCATATCTGAGAATAAGGCAAAAGAGTGATGAAGGACTCCCAACATCAGCCTTGAGTCGCTGCTTGCCACATGCACCTACACACCAGTTTGCCCACACACATGCATATGTTCACATATAAACACATGCATGTATGATACATACACATACACACACGTAAGTGGGAAAAGATAAAATAAATCACTACATGGAGTTTCAAGGCCTAGGAAAGACATAGTAACTGTCAGGAGGATCCATGAATGTGGAAGGGAGAGAGATGATTTTATTACCATTAAATATGAGTGGCAGAGTATCCGGAAGCAGAATGGGGATGAATCCCGCTGGCCTTAATGGACCAAAATGTTCCATTATGCGAGTGCCCAGAAGATAGGAGGAAGGGTGAGGGAGCATGTCTGTAGAGTGGCACTAGGTCAGAATTAGTCCAGAGTTTTCCTCAAAGATGGTGGGGGTGCAGTGGGGGATGAGGGCCAGGGTGGCATTTCACAGCTCCTTCAGAAAACACAGCTGCCACAAATCATCTAAAGCAGTGGTTCTCAACCCTCCTAATGCTGGGACCCTTTAATACAGATCCTTGTGTGGTGATCACCAACCATAAAACTATAAATTATTTCATTGTTACTTTGTAACTGTAGTTTTGCTACTGTTAGGAATCGTAATGTAAATATCTGATATGCAGGATACCTGATATGTGACCCCTGTGAAAGGGTCATTCGACCCACAGGTTGAGAACTGCTGGTCTAAAGGTACTATGTCCAAATAATAGGATTGTTCCCACAAATAAACCAACCACGGCAGGTGTAGCTCTGCTGGCTTCACTGGGCTCAGCAAAGGTCTTCCTACCCACAGAATGTAGAACACACATGCTTCATCACAGAACAGCTGTGGGAGGCTGGTCACTTGGAGTCTCTGTGAGTCTGAGCTAACATCTGGCTTCCCCAGTCCACAGTAAATTCAGCCTTGCAGGAAGCTCTGCTGGGGTTATAGACCAGGTGTCAGGGGCAACCAATCATCAAACCTAGGAGCACAAAGATCTTGTTCTGCATCTGTGTGCTGTTGGTGGCCCTTCTGGGGACTACACCATTTTTGAATCATTTTGAATCATTGGTCTCACTCTCAGACCACAATTACTGTCACCTATGCCCTGGATACCTAGAACCTGCCTGTCACCACTCTGAATATGAACTTTCCATAGGATTTGCTCTTTATTACACAGGGTTACCATCTCTCCTTAAAGATGGCGTATCCATGGTGCTATTGGAAACCTGGGACAAGTCGAAGGCACCAGGTTACCAAGTTATGTGGTTAAAGACCATCTCCATGTATCTTCTAGAGATGCAGGAGCAAATTCTACATCTCTCAATATTCCCACTAGGCCTTACAAAAAAATGAAAATGCTACAGCTACTTTCTCATATGCTGTCAGTCATCAGAGCAGACAGTGGAGAAGAGGCACGGACAAGGCGTGACCAGTGACTGTTATAAACCTAATTCTGGGGCCCTGTTAGCACAGCGCAGCACCTGACTCCCTGGCACCGGGACACAGACCCAAACTCTGCATTCCGCAGAGTCCAACATGGTTGTAGCTACAATCCCTTTCTACCATGACACGCTATCATGGGACTAATATAATTTTTTAGAATCTGAAAGTCACACACTGACACTATGTTAAATAAACATGAGATCAATAAAATTAATGACTTGCATTGTGCCTCCTCCAGATACATCCCTGACCCAAAGGCAACCTTCCCTGTGGTACCTTCTGAACTAAGCTCTGGGTGATTAAAGGTAACTATGTGTGAATATGTGTTCTCACATGAGTGCAAGTGCGGGGTGTGTGTAGGTGTCCATCCATGCACATGTGGAGGCTAGAGAACAACTTTTTTATTCCTCAGGTGCCACACACCTTGGTTTTTGAGGCAGGGTCTCTCATTGCCTTGGTGTTTGCTGAGTAGACTAAGCTGGCTGGCTAGTGAGCCTCCTGGATCGACCTATCTCTGTCTCTGCCTCTCCTGGGCTGGGATTACAAACTCAAGTCATCACACTACTTTTTTATTTTTGACCTGGGTTCTAGGGATCAAATTCAGGTCCTTATGCTCATATGGCAAGTATTTTAACAACCAAGCTTTCTCACAGCCCTAACACATAATTTTAAACTAAACATTAGGAGACATTAGGAGAGGAAGATGGGAGAGTTCAGCATGCAGTTCAGTTCTGCAGGACTGAGCAGGACAGACAGCACAGTCCCTACCTAACCCTGGAGATTTCCTGGCAATTAAAAAATGCATGATCCAAGGCTTCCCCTTAAAAATAACTTCAAACTCTTCAGTTTTTACTTCTACAGAAGTACAAGGGCCACTCAGAGGTTTCAAAGGAATACAGCATTTAAACAAAAACTGGTGGTTGTAGGTTCCTCTAATTTCTCTTCAAAGACTTTAAATAGGTCATTATATGAACTTAAGAACACACGGCCATCCAAGGTGCAGAAGAGTTCTGTCTCCGATCTGGATCCGGCAATGCCTTAACATCATCAGCATTGGAGATCTTGGGATGTTTGTGCCTGTGACTAATCCTTGTCAAGGATTATGAAGTTTTTGGCTTCTTAGCTTATAAAAATGGCACATATCTTATCCATGTCACCCATATGTGTCTGTATGTATTACATATTTGTGTACCCATTTATCCAGTGCAGAAATCAGATCTCAGAGCAGGCATTCACCGGAGCACCACAGCAGGAGGCCAGCTCTTTAGTGTGACCTACTTACAGAGGCAGAGTCTCCAAGCAGGCATCCTCAGCATGACAATTAGCAGTTTCCCCCTGCAGTTTGGTCAGCAGGAATGATACAGAATTCTGCCTAGTGGCAATTCCCTCAGCCCTGCCAGGCGCCTGCTGCTCTCTGGATAACGGCCTTCCTTAGGCGTGCGACACAGCAGGGAAAGAGACCGGTTCACTGTGAGACCTGCTACTCACTCTCTTACAGTGCATCGGCCCCCCTTCCCACTGCACAGTGGCTGCCGGGGCTCTGGGTGGCAGGCATGTGGCCATCGCGACAGTGAACCACGGAGTCAGAGTTTCCATCAATGCATGCTGCATAGTCAGGAGCTTTCTTCTAAAGACGGTGCTGAGTTTTAGGACAGTATCAAAACACCCTAATTGGCTTGTTGAGAACTAGAGAAATACTCTCTTTAAATTGAAAAGGAAACAAGAATGCACAGGCTGGGAAGATAGGGATGCACTTGTCTTGCTGCTTGAAAATAAACTCAGAGGATGTAAGAATAGCTTGTGGGGAATCACTGCGCATGCATAGACAGACATACACCTTGTCTCCTCCTCGTACCTGTTAATTTCCCACACAGTGAATCAAATGCTTTGTTAGCTTCCCTGGGTAGGAAAAACATGTGACTTAAATTGTCTCTTTTGGGTACTCATCCAATGAGTACATCTATGAAATTCACCATCAAAAATAACCAAGCCAGAGAACAGAAAGGAAACAGATTTCACGTACCTGCCTGCTGTGCTGTCTGTGGTATTTGCTGACTCCGCTGAGCGCTGTACTGGACTGAGGCCAGGGGTCGGTACTGCTGTGTGGTTGAGGTAGGGTACTGACCGGATGGATAGTAATATACAGGCATCTGTGGGAAGTGATGAGAGAGAAAGCAGAGATGAGAGCTGTGCACTGGAAACATATTTTTATCATAAAACCTACTTCTGCTATACAGTGTCATTTAACTGCGGCAGATGGTAAAGGTAGGCCATCATCTTCCTCTTTCACACCTGTTTCCATGTACAGTCTCTTTCTCCCATGATGGGAGACAGCTCCTGTCCATGCTCTGGAAGCTCAGGAACCTCCATGACCTGCTTTGATCCTTGCAAAGAGGCAGATGTAAAGTCTGGGATTCCTAAGCCAGATCTTGAAGGAGGCTTGCAATCTGACTGCTGGAGGAGGGATGTAGTCACCAGGGAAACACATATCTACCCTGCAGCAGGAAGAGGCCAGAGGCTCCCCACTACTGGCGACCCTCAGTCTTTATGGAATAGAAATGAGCTTCTTGGGAGGAGTCCTGGCCACTTGATGACTGTGTCATGAGCAGCAAAAGGCCACTTGATGTCTAGCAAAGGCTTCAAAGAGTGATTTACATAAAACCTGTCTCAAAATATGCAGCATATATAACACAAATGGAACCTGTGTTAAGATATTGTTTATGTATCTTCTGCAAACTTATTTTTGGTAGTGGGGATTGAACTTAGGCCTCCATGCTTGCCAAGTAAGAGCCCTAGCAATCACCTAGCTATATCCCCAGGCATCTTACAGGTGTGTATGTATACATACATGTTCATGTGTGTGAGCATGGGTGTAGAGGCCAGAGGTCAGCCTTAGGTGTCATTCCTCAGGCACTATTCATCTTTTTTAAGACAAGAGTCTCATCGACCTGAAACTCGCTAATTCATTGAGAGTGACTGGCAAGAGGAATCCAGGGAACCTACTTCCCTCCACTTGCCCAGCTCTGAGATTCCAAAGTGAGTCACTATGTCTGGCTTTTTAATGTGGGTTTAGGGGATCAAACACAGGCCATCATGCTGGCCTGGTAAGTGTTTTACTGACTGACTGATCTCCCCAGCTGTCCTTAGGGATCTTTATACTTTTCATTTTGAGAGAGTCTTAGATTAAGTTGCCCAGTCTTTGTTTCATTCTGTAGCCCAAACAGGCTTTGAATTCACAATTTTCCTGCCTCATTCCCTCAGAGGGTGGGGATATTGGTCTGTAACCCTAGGCCTATCTACCTTCCATATACCATTTAATGCCTGATAGCTAGTGAAAACATCCTAAATCTCCCCATTGGGATCAAATGTTTTCTGATATAGAAGACTTCTTTGCCTACCTATTAATGCTATGTAATGCTGTTTTCTTATGGATTTCAGCTAACTTCTTCTATCCCCAGGCCTCTGGCTTTTCTTTTATCATCTTCCTTAAAGGAAGAACAGTGGCTGACCACTGTACACCCAAGAGTTTACAAGCTGTGTATGTAGAATAAGATTATGAGCCAGGTGGATCGCTATGAGCTCGAGGCCAGCCTGGTCTACAGAGCAAGATCCAGGACAGGCACCAAAACTGCACAGAGAAACCCTGTCTTGGAAAACAACAACAACAAAAAAGATTATGAACCAGTTGTTTCATAGCTCTGATTTTTATGGCTATTTTATTTTCTGATATGCTTATGTCAATGAGATATCAATTTTCCATCTTTCTACTAGAGTGTGTCAAATGTACCCTATCTTTATCTCAAGGTAGAAGAAAAGAAAACACTGTATGACTGTGGTTCTGGAATGTAATGGAATCAACATGAAATTTATTGTCACTTTCTAGTATTGTAGATGACCAAAGGAAGGGGCTGGAAGAGCCTGGAACTATTCTGCCTCAGTGACTGAGCCCCAACTGGCAACTTACTAATTGCATGCATTGTGCAGGGTGATTTAGCCTCTCTCTCTCTCTCTCTCTCTCTCTCTCTCTCTCTCTCTCTCTCTCTCTCTCTCTCCTCCCACCGCCCCCTCTGTGTGGGAGTATGGTAGTAGTGGTGGTGGGATGTGTGTGGATGTGTGTGCATGCACATGTGAATGGGAGTACCTGCGTATATGTGGAGACCAGAGTGTGATGTTGGGTATCTTCTTCAGCAGCTCTTCATTTAAAAAAAAAATATTTATTTTGCTCTTTGTATACGAGCATTTTGCCTGCATATGTGTATGCACACCATGTTCGTGTCTTGTATCTGTGGAGATCAGAAGGGGACATCCCATCTCCTGGAACTGGGATTATGAATAGTGATGAACCACCATGTAGGAGCTGGTAATTGAACCCGGGTCCTCTGCAGAAGCAGCAGGTGCTCTTAACCAATGAACCATTTCTCTAGTCCCTCCACCTTACTTTGAAACAGGGTCTCTCACTAAACCCCGAGGTCAACAGCTCATTTAAACTGGGTGGCCAGTAAAGTCTAGGGACCCACTTGCTCCTGCCCTTGGCCTTTCCCCAGTTACTGTGTGACGGATCGCATAGCCACACCCATCTTTTACAGGTGCTGGTAACCCCAACCCAGGTCTTCACGCTGTCATGGCAAGCATGCTATGAACTAAGCCATCTCCACAGCTGTTTGCTCTTTTTTATAAGGTAATTCAAAACAATAAAAACATAAGGAATTCCTGAGTAAACTGATGCAGTTAAAAGTCACTGTCACATACTACATATTATATAAATGCCCCCACAATATTAAGAACAAGGGCAACACTATCGAACTTATCCATCATCATTGTATGTACCCATCTGTTATTCTTCCATTTTTGTTTCTTTAGAAAAAAGATTGTGTTGTTTAAATATAAGCTCATGAATACAATTTCCATTCTTTAAAAACACTTATTGTTACTGTGTATACATAAGTATGCTTGTGTGTGCGGGAAAGTAGAGAATGATGTGGGCATCTGCATGCCATGGCATGGATGTGGAGGTGAGAAGACAACTTGTGAGAGTCAGTTCTTCTCTCCCAGCATGTGAGTCTCCAGATCAAACTCAGTCTGGATTGGTGGAAAGAACATTTACACCTTGAGCTATCTTGCCAGCCGATATCTATTCTGTAGTCTTCTAGCATTCAATATGAAACAAAAACATTTTCAGAGATAAAGGATGGAGGTCCAATGCTTGAAAAATTCCCAAAGAGCATTCATAATTTGAAAATCGTTGAACTTCACATGTGTAATATTTAGAAGCTACTTGTTTTTGGTTGTTGCTTATTGTTGTTGAATTGTTATTGTTTTTCCTCTTCCTCTTCCTCTTCCTCTTCCTATTCTTATTCTCTGAACCTAGCAGAAGTTTGGACAGCTGTACCTAGCACTTCTCCATGGTGGGTAGGTCATTGCTTACTTCTTAGGAATGGTGACATCAAACATGAGAAGCTAATGAGCACTTGACCAGTCCTGATCCCTCCATTCTAGCAGAAGGAAAGTGAACTGAGCCCAGAGAAATATTTTGAAGGGAGAAAGGAATAAAGATGGCCTCAAGGGGTATAAATGTACATTTTGAACTGACCCTGTTAAGATGTGGGGAATCCAAAAGTGGATAAAAATAGGAAAGAAGCCGGGCGGTGGTGGCGCACGCCTTTAATCCCAGCACTCGGGAGGCAGAGCCAGGCGGATCTCTGTGAGTTCGAGGCCAGCCTGGGCTACCAAGTGAGTCCCAGGAAAGGCGCAAAGCTACACAGAGAAACCCTGTCTCGAAAAACAAAAACAAAAACAAACAAAAAAATAGGAAAGAAATAAATCGTAGGAAGAAGTAACCAGGAGTAACAAGTTCTTCTTCCATGTCTGGTCCTTAGGTTGCTTTTAGCCTCACTCCTACATCTTGATGAATCCTTCTAGTGGCCTTAAGGAATAATATACAAGCCATAGGAAACAAACATTGAGAGGTTGTCCTCTGAAGAAACTGAACACATTTCCATAAACATCTATAGACTGACTTGGTTGAACTCTTCCCAATGTTGCACAGTTGACTAGCTAGACTTTAAAATATACATCGGAAGTCACTATGGGTTGTGACCTACATCTGTATCTATGGGTCTGTTTGTTCCCAATAATAAAGCTTGAAATATTTAATTTATTAGTAAATTAATTAATATAATAATGAAATCATTTCTTCTATTACTTAAAATTGTTTTAAACATCACTTTAAATCCCACTAGGGAAGAAATATTCCTGAGATGGTGACTGGAGGTGCACTGTTAATTAACCACTCAAAATGAACAACTGAGGGAAAATCATTTTCTGGTGTAGGATTTTGTGTGGCTTGAAGAGAAAATAATTTATTCAAGACGTGAAGGCAGCGGAACAAACGGCACCATGGTGACATGCACTTTAAACAGCACCTCCCAGGCTATACTTCATAATTAGGACGGAAGCTGGTTGGGATGTGTATGCCTTGAAAATGGACCAGAAAATGCTGGTGTGCATTTTCCATCTTGACAGTAATCACTTCCAATATTCTGCAAGGGATACCCAGGAGAGTCCCAGAGATGTTTGGGGCTGAAAAGGAACATGTAATCAGTCTTAGAGAAGACAGTAAAAAGCAGTGATCTGTGGTGTCTTACATGCTCCAGTCAATTAAATATGATTAATGGCTACCTGTGAGATTGGGTATGGGCTCTGCCTCCCCTGGGGAAGAGGAAAGGACAGTGGGTATTGGCTTTCCTCTGTCCTTTGTACTCACAGAGACAGGTCTGTCTGCCGCTTAGATCCAGAAGGTGGGTATGAATTGATGAGAAGGGAAAACAAATTTTTTGAGCAGCAAGGGAGAGAATTTAAAGTGTCTTGGTTCAGGATATTCCCTTTCTGGCTTCCCCCATGTAAACGACATCACATAGAACCCAATGTTCTCTCTCTCTCTCTCTCTCTCTCTCTCTCTCTCTCTCTCTCTCTCTGTGTGTGTGTGTGTGTGTGTGTGTGTGTGTGTGTGTGTGTGTATGTGTGTGTGTGTGTGTGTGTGTGTGTGTGTGTGTGTGTGTGTATACACATACACATATAGAGGCCAGGAGCCAACTTCAAGTGTCAGTTATCAGGAGTCATCCAACTTATCTTTTTTGAGATAGGGTCTCTAACTGGCCTGGAACTGGCTGATCTGTCTAGACTGGCTGCTAGTAGGCCCCAGGGATACACCTGCTTCTGCCTACTCAGGCCTGGGATTACAAGTGTACCCCACCACACTCATCTTTTTAATGTGGGTTCTGGGGATTGAACTCGGGTCCTCATCCTTGTGCATAAAGTACTATTCTAAGTGAGCCATCTCCCTAACCCGAGTCAATTCTTTCCATAGCCTTAGGCCAGCAGAATGGAAAATGGGTCATCTCTGGGTTATACCCTCTGTGAGGTTCATTTGACTCACTTTCTGGACCCCAGGACTGCCTATCTGGTGAAGTGGACAAAACGTATTGGTGATGGTGACATTAATGTGACCAAGATGACAGAACAAGTGACAGACGTCAGAGGGCCACGGGCCATCTGTGGTGAAGAAGGGAAGGAAAGCCCACACTTACCTGTGCAGGTGCAGATTGCTGTACAAATCCCTGGGGAGAGGGTGGGGCCTGAAGGACCTGCTGGGAGATTGGAGGGCCAGAGTCCGAGAAGCCCCCGGTGGAGAGCTGCTGGCCTGCAGAAGTAATGACGTAGCTTGGTGGCTGAGCTGGCTGTGGCATGAGGGAGCCAGGGTAGACTGTACCGGAGGGAGGTTCAGGGGTGTCTCCGGAGGACTGCCGGCTCATGCTCAGCTGGCTGAACTGTGCGGCCACTTCTTCTCTCTGTGACCCAGGGAAATAAAGGAGCCGCTGGTGAGGCAAACTGAACCTGGCCGTGAGTAAAGCAAACTGGGACAGTCACACATTCACACTTGAGAGAAGAGGAAGAAGGAGGAAGCACACACTGAAAAAAAGAAACAAAAGAATTCCTCAGTCAGACATAACAAGAAAAATCATGCAAGAAATCAAGTTTCGTTCAGCTGGAGAGTCCAGGGATGGGAAGCAATTTGGCCAGAATCTTCTTCCTTCGATGGAAGGAGACTATTCCTTTATCATTGAGGGGTCAGGCTCCAAAGAGGGGACACTGCAGTAAGGGGAGGTTTGGCTGTCAGCTGGTCTCCCAGTGTCAAACCTAGATCTGCCTGCTTGAGAGAAGACAAGCCCTCCTTCCGGAATGGGAATGGGATCCACATACCCATCTCACAGAACCTAACCTGATACCTATGGATGTGTGCTGTCTCCATAAGGACCCACTGTTAGTCAGGGTAACAAGTAAAGGAAATAGGGACTGGATTCCCAGGGGGACCAGCATCAGGAACTGGGGGTAGTGATGGCTGTATCCTGACTCAGAGTTTTAGATGATTCTGACAACTTTGCAGCAAGATCATATAACCTGTTTGCTAATGACCTCAAACTCTAAGGATAATGTAGGCAAGCATGCTTAGCTAGTACACTTTGTGTGTGTGTGTGTCCATGTTCATGTATGGCTATGGGTATACATGTGTACACATGCATGAGAAATCAGAGGTCAATATTGGGTGTCTTTGCCTGACATATCTCCAGCTTATGATTTGAGACAGGGTCTCTTACTGAACCTGGAGCTTACCAGTTTGGCTAGACTGGCTGTCTAGGAAGCCGAAAGGGTCTTCCTAATTTTTGTCTCCACAGCGCCGAGCCTACAGGTACTCATCACATGCCTACCTTGTTGTATGGGTCCTGAGTATCTGGACTTGGTTCCTCATGCTCAGCAAGAATTTTACTGACTGAGTCATTTCCACAGTAAACTTTAAAAGAGGTATCAGATTGCAGAAGCATTTAACTTAGGGAAAACAGGTGAAAAAAGAAAGAAAGTTGCTTGGAGGGATGGACTGTCAGTCAGGCATGAGACATTTACACATACTCAATGACTTCACAGTCAGTCCAGGCCATGCATCCAGTGTTATCTATAGCTGAACAGGAAAACCGCAGAAGCCATGAAAATTCTGTGTGTGCACATGTGTGTATGTTATGCATATGATACAGTACCAGGGGGAAGTGCTGTGTTGGCGACACAGGCAGGAGATGCTGGGCAGGGAAAGAGACCGCTGGATATTGCACAGACTGGGGAGATGGCTGCAGGCCCTGGACAGACTAGAGGGAAGAAAACACTGGTCAGTAAACAGGAGAGTGTGGGGCGGAAATTCCACACTTAACAGGTTCTCTCGGATCACTCATTGCAGAGAGGCAAATCAACCACACAGGCAAGCCTAAGGCTATGTACGCCAGAGCCAGGTAGCCTTGGTCTCGAGGAAGCTCAAGAAAGCACGCCTTTACAAAATCAGTGATGGGCACTTGATGTCTGTTAGATGCTCTGGACCTACATACATTGTTCAAGGACTAAGAAGTAAAAGCATATAAAAAGGAGGCTCACCCAGGGAGCCTGCTCAGAACACCAGGTTCTATTGTGCCTCCCTAGGGAAGGAGGCATCTCGGTACCTTTCTCAGGGGCCCAGGGATGAGAATCCAGGTCTTTTGCGACTTGGCTGATCTGCTCTTCTCACTGAGGAAGAGCTCTGCACTGATTCTACAGACATGAACATTTGATCTGTGATGGATAGGAATGAATTAACTCAAAGTCCAGGAAGGGATTATAAATTGCATCTGTAGCTTTACATCAAACAGCACTTGGACCTAAAACACTGTCCATTCATTTTTCCCTAGTACCTACTCTCACTCAGTAGACACTTGAATTGGGTATGAGCTCATAATATTGTGTCAACCAATGATTATACCCTGGAAGATTTCCCCCAAAGCCTGATGGGTAGTGAGCCTCCACAAGACATCCTGTCTCCAAGATGGATTGCTGACCTGAAGCCTAGGCAGGTCTCATCTTCCATCCCTTCTTCTCCCTCCTTCCAGCCAGCTCCTCACCTGAGTGACCAGTGGCCCTGCCATCTGGGGCTGTGATGGCTGGACCTGTTGCTGAGGCTGAGGCGATGGCTGCTGTGAGGGCTGCTGGGGCTGCCCACCAACAGTGCCACGCAGCGTCTGCTGACTTCCAGGAGGATTATATATTGCAGGAGTTCCATCCGGGTTCACAAAGGGCTGACCTGAAATGAAGCCATACAGAGTCTGGCTCAGATGAATGTCTCGCTGCTTTTCCCACAGATAAAAAAGCATTCTCCTAGACACCATTTTTCTTGCAGAAAAGAAAGCACTCTCCTAGATCTCTGAAAATACCCTGAAGTGAAAGGGTGTGCAATAGGAACTCAAGACACGGATCCTGCTCCACAGCCAATGTGTTACTGCTTGTGACCCAAACTAGTCGGAACTGGATGACTGGGTGAGCATGTAGTGACTTAAGAAGCCACAAATAAATTCACATCATTTAGGGCGATTTGGCAAGGTTAGGAAAGTGTGGACAGTGGAAACCAGTAGAAAGGCCTGTGCAGAAGCAGTCTTCATGCAGCCCTAGGATTTGCCCCTGTATCTCACAGCCGTCAGGGAGATAACGTACACTGAGCAACAGCAGCTACTTTCCAGTTACACTACATCCAGTCACAAGCTATCTGCCAAAACACTGATTTTGCTTCTACTCGGTCTGGCCACCGAACAAGAATTATTATAGTCCCACAAATGCATACACAAAGCAAGGGAATGAAACGATCCATCACTCACTTCTCTAAGCACATACAACCTGAGGTTCTTTGTTATTTACTTAATTAGTCAATGAACAAGTTTCCCCATAGCATTTTCTTACATGCTTAGCTTTGACCGATCCCTCATCTCTCTTATGCTCATCCCCACTGTACCCTCCTGTCCTCCTTATTCCCCTCTCTAGTTACAAATTACATGTATTCTATTACCTCACCCACCTCCCTCTCTTAAAATATCATTTCTCACATCTCATGGGCCCTTTCCACTTGCCAGACATCTACCCACACTTACTCCCACACAGATATATACATATTACAAGTGAAAGCCAGGTCCACATGAGAGAAAAAAATGCAGTATTTATCCTTCCAAGCCTGGGATGCATTACTTAATATACTTTTTCCCTGTTCCATCCATTTTCCTATAGATTTTGTAATTTTGTTTTTCTTTATAAAGTTTTATACTTCTAGAGTGATGTGGACCTAGCTTGGGAGACACAGTGTTACGACTTGTGACCAAAACTATCTTAGGCTGGATCCAAACTCACAGAATCATCTTTTGAGATAATGGCATGTTCACTGTGATGTTGTTGGTTGCTTAGTGACTATGTGGCTTTGAAGTTTAGGAAAAGATGGAGGCTCACAAGAAGGACATGGAAGTGAGAGTCATGCTGTGGAGAGCAGAAGGCAGGAGTTGAGGGAATGGGACATGAGGGGTGAACAGAGAACACATTTCCAGTGTGGCAGGTAGGAGCCTTGCACACAGATCTTTCAACAGCCCTGTGAATATGCATTCTCAGTTCCACCTCAGCAGAAATAAAGTTAGACTCAGAGAGACCAGGCAACTTATTTGGCAAAATAAACAACAGCAGCATCAGCAGCAACAAATAAACAGTAAGGGAGAGAGCCCTCAGGAGGTGCCTCTGCGTAGTGAAACTCCAAATCAGTTTACCTGCCCAATACAACTGACTTATCAAATATACTCGAAGAGTTCACAGCACAGCCTGAACCATGACAGTAACAGTGAGAAGTGAAAGACATCGCCAATGCACAAGGATCCAGGCAGGGAAGGTGGAAGCCATGGAAGCTCTACTGTCATGCAGGGCCACAGCAATATTGCCAAAATAGGAGGGAAAAGAAATGGTACAGGAGGAAAGCGACTGCTTCCCTTTCCCATACCTTGCAGCCCCCTGGGGAAGAGAGAGCTGAGGTGTGTGCTTCTCTACGAGATGAACTCAGAAGTGCACTGCAAAAACCTAAGAAAAATGCCTAGAGGGAGAAAGATGCCCTGGACAAGTGTTGTGCTCTGGAGAGAAACCTTCCCCACTGGGTGTTGGCAGACAGTGCAAGCAGAAAGTTGAGCTCCCCTGCAGCATGTATGCCAAGCCTGAGTCTGTGCATTTTACTGAGTACACAAGGCTTTCAGGAGCATGCTTATTCAAAACTAGAAGCATCATATATAGGAACTCTGCCTTGACAGTCTTAGTCATATATAGGCAGAACAAGCTAGGATTGGCAGTTTCATGGGAGAGAATTTAGCCAACAAGAAGTGAGCAGGAGAGAGAGCAAGATAGACAGGGTGGTGGTAGGGGGGTGGCAGATGGGAGATAAAATTTAAAAACTGACTCAGAGGAAGCAGAGTATTCCAGGTGGGGAGTATACATATGACCCCCATAAAACAATGTACTGTTATGAAATAGGAGTAAACAAATTAACTTGGAAACTTGAATCATGGCATATCAACCAGTATATCTTGCAGGACTAAAGAAGTTATGACAGTAGTCTCATAATGAAACCACTGACTGCTACAGAAAGTGAACCAGGAATACACTCACAGAAAATATGCTGATTAAGTTGAGTGATTTCTTTTTGGGTCTGGAAAACTGGGACATAGAATCTGTCCAAGTTCCTGAATGCTAGGATTATAGAAATGCACCACCAGATCCGCCTAACATTTTTTAAGTTCTTAATGTTCCAGGAACCTGATTTTGTTATGGAATATTTGTACATTGTATGAAGATGTGTTGCTGTGATTGGTGTAATAAAAAGCTGAATGGCCAATAGCTAGGCAGGAGGTACAGGCGGGACTTCCGGGCAGAGGGAGAGACTGGGAGGAGGAATCTAGGTGTGCAATTTCATCAGCAGACTCAGAGCAAATCAGATGTGCCTTACTAGCAAGAGCTAACCAAGCCACGTGTCAGAATGAAGATTACCAAAAATGTATGTGTTAATTAAGTTATAAGAGCTTATTGAAGAAAAGTCTAAGCTAAGACCAAGCTTTCATAGCAATAAGTCTCCGAGTCATTACTTATGGGCTGAAGGTCCAAAGACAGTCTGACAAGAAGGCTTACTACACGATTCTTACTATTTCCATTTAGTTTTAGCTACATTTTGTTATATGATTTTTTTCTTAAAAACTAAGTTTTTTTTCTAGATTCTAGACATGTAATCCATTGTTCCCCAAAGCCAGAAATCTGGAAAAGGCTAAACAAATTACTTCAGTTTAAAAACATGTCTATCAGTCTTTTGAATGTTCTCACTCAGTTTTCTTGTAACCCCAGTGCTGGGGAGGTGGAGTCAGGAGGATTCCTGGGGCTCCCTGGACAGTGAGTTTAGACCAGTCAGGTGAGCCTCAGGCCGATGAATGACCTTGTTTCAAAAACGAAATGAATAGCCACTGAGGAAATACACTTGCTGTTTACCTATGGTCTCACAGGACACATACCCACACCCACACAAACACACACACATTCACCCACACACATGGGCCTACACCTGCACAAACATGTGTCCCTATAGGAACACTTACCCAAAGTACACATCTATGAACATACACTAGCTCTCTCTCTCACACACACGTGAATGGATCCTTTTTTTTTTTTTTTTATTATGACCTAGCTTTTAGCCACCATGTCTGAGACATATGAAAATTTACCTATAGTTCCAGTTAGAATATGACCCCAAATGCTCAGATGTCCTTTGTGATAGATAAACTCTACAGTCTCAGCTTGAAATGTGATCAGCGCACCATGGTGAAAAGAAAGAGAAAGCTCAAAATAGCTGCCTACGAGAGTCCTAATGATCCCTGAGACAGAAATGGCCGGGCCTGGACAGGGCAGGAGAAGTAAAGCACCCAGGTGCCCACCAAGGAAAGGTGGCAGAGCTGAGGGAAAGTCACTGTGGTTGCCAGAGAAGAGAACCAAAGAGACTTCCCAAAGACACCTGGGCCAGACGGCTGTTGGCTTTCAAGTCAGGCGACAGTAACTCCTCTGTGTCTGACGAATTCCATCAATCCAGATACAAAACTACACTGATACAAGCAATTAGTTTGAGTGACAGCTGCTGCAGACTGCAAGGGAAAGAAAAGCCCGGCTGGGCCTGAGCTTGTTCAGTCTGATAGAAGCGATGGTGGCAGAAGCCTCAGGAGCAGGCCCAGTGGGCCACAGCATGCACATTGGGCACAGGGAGGAAATGCTTGATGTCGGAGATAAGCTGGAGTGCTTTTAGTTCAAAGCAGGGGAAGAGAAAGGGACTGGATGTAAAATATATTTTCTTTCAACCACATAATATTAGCAAGTTTTCCACAGTCCACATCAACATATCAGCTATTATTTCAATATTAGGTAATTATTGGATAATTACATAAGGCAGATCACTTTGCTATTATTGCAGGAAAGCAAAAAATACAAAAATACATTTAAAATAACTGACGATAGGTCAATGAGATGGCTCAGCAGGTAAAGGTTCTTGCCACCAAGCCTGATGATCTGAATTCAGTCCCAAGGATCCCCACAGTGGAGGGAGAAAGCTGACTCCCACAGGTTGTCCTCTGCCCTCCATAGGCACGGTGTGGCATGCTTGTGTCCCCGAGTAGTGTTAGGAAGTAAAACATAATGCAAATGCCCCCTCCATAGAAAGAGTTATAAATATCTTAGTAACAAGGAAACAAACACAAGGAAAGTCACATAAGAGAGAAAAATGTCATCAGCTCTTGAAACCAAAGCATGTCTGTTCTCCACTTCATAGAATGGTAACGGGGTGGCTTTTGTTTTCCTACTGTGTAGAACGCTGTGTATGCAAATGTTGACAAATCCTGTAGGTAAGGATTAACTCAGCCCTTACAAGACATCTTGACAAACAGTGCACCAACATTTCAGGGCACGTTTGAGCACAATGCAGAAGCACTTTGGATAAACAGAAGCTGGGAATCCTGGTGAAATTCTAGGATTGTAGAAGCCCAGGAGGAGCATCTGAAAGAGACAGTATTGAGAGCTTCTCCAGAGTGAGGATCTCCCCAAATGCTGCGCCCTTACACAGTCGTGGTTTTGCACAAGATGAAGAGAAAGCAGTGTGACAACACATCAGCTGGAGTGTGAGTGAGGCTGCCTGTGGGTATTTTCAGATTGCAGTGAAGCTTCTGCTAGAACCAACCAAAGGAAGCTGGGGTTCAGGACAGCTAAAGGAAGATCATGGCAAAGATCTGGACTTGCCTGGCAGAGACAGTCACTTTGTGACTACCCACTCATCCAGGTACCTGAAAATAGCCAGGAGGAATCAGAAAGCACCTGAGTGAGGCTGAATGAGAGATGTCTGTGGTCAAGACAAAATTCAAATCTCTGGGGGCTTTGGGAGAGGGTTCAGTAGGTAAGAGCACTTGACAAACAAGTGTGAGGACCTGAATTTGAACCCCTAGCACCCATTCAAAAAGCTGGGGTGGTTGCGTGCTTGCATTTACATCAGCTGCTTTGGGAGGTAAAGACAGGAGGATGGTGGCAGCTTGCTGGCCCCTAGTCTAACCATAGCTCAGGGAGAGAGACTCTGTCTCAAGGGAATAAAGTGGAGATCAATAGAGTAGACATCTGACATCCCCTCTGACTTCTGTCCACCTATGGGTACACACACCACACACACATACCCTCCCACACACATACGACCTTGTATTCCCATATACACAGGAAATTCCTCCATAGCTGTGGCTGTCCTGGGGGAGCCACAGGAACACACAGGAGAGTTCTTAGTATGCCCTATGTCTAAGATATGGCAAAAGTTCAGTCCATTATACAAGCAAAGGATGTTCTACTCTGTTTTATGCAGTAGACACATGAGTAGGACACACATATACCACACATCCATCAGCAAATCAGACAATAACTTGTAGGAGTCAGTTCCTTCCCTTCATTTGAGCTCTAAGGATGAAACTCAGATGGTCAGGCTTGGAAGCAGGCACTTTTGCCCACTGACCCAAACTTGCAAGCTCAGCCAATTCTAATTTCATACATGAAGCCCATTCTTAAATATATGACATTGGGTGGGAAATCACTCTGCTATCTAGATAAACACATGTGATGGCTGGTAGATATTATTTCACCAGTAACCATCCAGTACTTGTATTGTACCTAGAAGTCTGTCACTCATTCTAGGGATTTACAAATTAATTAATTAATAGTACAGTCTTTCCCCACAAATTGATTCCAAATATGCTAACAAGGGAACTTGCCAAGGGCATGGGAAACAAGGTACCGCTGGTGTTTAACATGAAAGTACTTGTGTCATGTACTTGGGAAGGTATGAAGAGAGATTCCTCGCCCATGGTGACAGCAGCAAAGGATGGGTTTCAGCCCAGAAGACATGGAGTACAGTAGAGGTCATGGAAGAATCACATGGTATGTATCATTTGTGTACTTACAGGCACACATACACATACCACCGATAGGTGTGCATTATGTATTACATACTTTAAACACATGCATGTGTTTTCCTTTTACTAGTTTTCATGTGTATATGTGTGTGTGTGTGTGTGTACATGTGCCTATGCGTGTATATATGTGTGTGTGTGTGCCCACAGAAGTCAGAGATGTCAGATCCTGTGGAGGCAGATGTACAGATGTTTGCAAGCAACCTGACCTGGGTGCTGGAAACCAAACTTTCTGCAGGAGCAATGTGTGCTTCTAACCACTGAGCCATCTCCCCAACCCTGCATGTATATGTTTTCAATCAATGGAACTGAAGGCACTCTAGAAAGAAGAGATATAATTTCTTTTTTTATGTGTATGTGGTATGTGCATATTTGTGTTTGCATATATGTGGGCACAGGTGTGTGTGCACACACTCACATGTGTGTAAGTACAAGTTCATGACTGCATGTGCTGGTGGAGGCCAAGGTGGATGTCGGGAGTATTCCTTAATCACTTGCCCCTTATTCAGTGAGACCAGATATCTCAGTTGAACTCAAAGGCAGTTTGGCTAGTCTTGCTAGCCAGTGTGTTTCAGGCATCTCCTGTTTCCATTTTCTCAACTCTCAAAGTGCAGGCAAACTTCCACACCTTCCAGGCAATCACAGGCATTCTGGGGATCCTCACTCCTGTCCCCGGCTTTCAAAACTAGTACTTTAACCACTGAGCCATCTGCCTCACCAGGAAACGTGATTTCTCACCGCCCATCACTCAGCTGTACTATAAAATACAATAACTGTGGTATTTTCCTGAGGGATAATTCAATGCCTAGCATCTGTCAGAGCAGACTAAGGCCTGTAGAGAGGCCATTCCGCAGTGCCTTCCCTCTAGTTCAAAGCCTTTCTCAAAGAGAGATGTTTTGATAACAGCCTTAAGTGACTCCAGCCAATGAATAAGAATCAGAACTTGGCATAAGCAGAATTCTATGTCTTTGCTAAATAAATGAGATTACATATGATAATATATACACAGATGCAAAGCCATGCTATCATTGCTAATAATACTCTACAAGACATACTGTTGTGCCTTTTTAAAGACACTCTGAAATTCTGCTTAAAACAAATCTCTCTCTCTCTCTCTCTCTCTCTCTCTCTCTCTCTCTCTCTCTCTCTCTCACACACACACACACACACACACACACACACACACACAAACCCCGAAAATTTCGTTCCCACTCCTTTCTGAAAGCCCTCTATCTAATCAACAGCAAAAGCTATTCTCCAACAATCAGATCATCCTTCAGTCAGAGCGCAGAGTAGTGGATATGATATTGGTGTCCTTTAATTTCTCTTATGAAGCTTACAATAATCCCAATAAAACTGGAGCCATTCAGAAATGCTCTTTAGAAGAAGCCAGTCGGAGGCTTTCAAGTGGCTTTCGATAAAATGGTTATGGTTTCTGTTCTCTCATACTTACAGCACTTTTAGAATGTCTCCATCAAATCCCATGCTCGGAGAACAGGCCATATGCTTTATGAGGACACGCAGTTACTCCAGGAGCTATTTTACCATAGTTCTCATATTGCACCGAGGATCCTAATTGCCAGTACCACTCTCTGTGTGAGCAGACCCAGCCAGATAGATCACTCGTGAGATGTTCAGCTGTTGTATTTTCAAGCTTAGATAACTGAAGTAATACTCTACATACCAGAGCTAAACTTCAGACTCCTTTCCAGAGAATTCCATTCTTTCCAGTCACAAATAAAAAGCTCCTAATGTTAAGTGTGCCAGCGTAGCTCTAATAACATTCTGGACTCCCAGCTCTCTGTGCTGGGGGAACTTTGGTCTGTTTCTTGGGGAGGCTGGCATACTTCAACCAAAAGAGTCCTTTTCTCTCCTGAGATCCTAAAGAGTGTTGACAATGAGGTCTTGGAGGGGGCCTAGGCAGATTTCCTTCAGGATTCTCTTCAGTTTATCTACTGAGGTTGGATCCTCAATGTCCTAGGTTTTTTGTTGTTAACATGGAACTATCTAGTCCCCTAGGGAAATTGGCTATTCATCATAGAATGAGCCATAATTATGGAAGGGACAGTTTCCCAACCCTACTATAAGTGGCCTGGGTCTATTTTCCCCACGAGGAGCTATTTAATGGCTTGTCATTATTCTCTTTACTTATGTGGGTTCTTCTAACTCTGCAGGAACTGGGTAAAGTTCTCTAATCTTCTATAATCAGGGAGCTGGGGTGGATTCAAGGGATGCCTTGCATTCTTGAATGCCGTTGAGTAAAAAATATATCAGATGTAATACTGAGCATTAAGAGTGAGAAACACCAAGTTTTTGGTGGTATATACCAGCTCAGGACAGTGCTGACTCTGATCTTAGGTCCTCAGAATGGGATAAAACTCTCCATAGCCAAGGCAGAAGGGATCCAGAGAAGGGGATGCTGCCTCAGCTGCTGCCTGGTGTTCTCTTCATCTCCCTTGTCCTCTCCTTCTTTCCTCTTCTCCTCTCCTCCTCTCCTCCTCCACTTCCTCCTTCTCCTCTCCCTTTTCAGGGCTTGGAATTAAATCCAAGGCCTTAGTCATGTCAGGCATGTGATCCACCATGGAGCCCCAGTCCTAACCCTTGAGAAAGGGTCACTCTTGGGACGTCTCTGATCTATATGAGTGTTGATGCCTTTACACACATAGCTGTAATCCAGACTTCCCCAAAGTCACCACCAAGTGGTCCCCACACTCTGCCCCCTACTCAAGAATTTTTCAGAAACCTTGATAGCAGATTTCAATTATCAAACAGAAGAACAAACCTTTAATAACTCGTGTCCACAGTAGAGCAGAGGACTGACCTGTGTGTGGATTAAGAAGGATGCTTCCAGGTGGGATGCCAGTTGCAGTTTCAAGTGGAAGGAGGATGTAGCTGGTGCTGCTGGGAGTGACCTGGCCCCCCATTCCATTCTCTGAATAGGGCATACAGCCAGGAGAACCAGCTGCCACACTAGAGGTCAGGGCCGTGCTCTGTAGAGGCGGGTGAGTGCGGGACAACGATCCTGAGGAGCCTGCACTGCTGGAAGACTCAGAACCTGGCAGAAAGAGAGGAATCAACAAAGCATTTGGTACCCAGAGAAGTAGAGAGATAATAGCCAGACATCAAAAGACTGACTGCTTCATAAGGGGACATTGGAGAGTTTGAGATGTGTGCTGAAGGATAGGGTTAGCCAGTGTCTATTCCACATCTTGAGCTTGTATTTATGGAAATTTTTCCTATAATAGGAAGAAATTGCTTCCTATTTCTCAGGTGTGCCAATTTTTCTAGGGAAGGGTGGATTAAAGACAAACATTCCTTCAATATTTGCATGTACAGTCTAGAAGATAAACTGGTACATGGGACTCAAGCTATGCCTACAAATTCCCGTCTCTTGAGTATTTAATGCTATGTGAAATACTTCTCTTAGTGAGACTGGTAGGAAACAGGGACAGGGTGGAAGACAAAGAGATGTCAATTTGGGGGGGTCTTAGGTCATGATGTCCCATGCATGTTTCTGAAGTTCCATTCCTCAAGCCCCCATACATCTAAATTTGAAGGGGACTTATAGAAACTGATATTTATTCCCTATATAAGTAGAGAAGTGGACAATTACTGTTGAGAACGCAGCATTGCACGAGTCAGAATTATTTTTATGATGTTGGAGAGCGAATCCAGAAGAGCTGTAGCTCTGAACTAAACCTGTAGCCACAACAAATTAAAAATAAAATAGTATTTCCTATAAGGAAAGGGGTGACTTAGGAGAACAGGTATAGAATCGGGAGTTGAGGAGAAACAGCCACACCTGGATTCTAACATCTTTCCAACCTTCTGCCTGGGAGCAACTTTCAATGTTAATTATTTCAACGAAACAATCAGTTTCCATGATGGACCATAGCTTCAGATTGTGAGTCCAAATATTTGTTCACAGCCATGAGAAAATAAACTGATAGAAAATTAGCCACAAAGCCAGTGAGTGTTAGAAGCTCTTTAAGGTTAGCTTTATTGTTTGCTTGGGCCAGTTTGTGAGCCTTGGTCATCTGGAACAGGTTCAGTGATAGTCTACACATCTGCACCACTGAAATACCTGACTAAAAATGAACATTCACAGGAATGATAAAAGCACAGGGTGAGAAGTGTTCCAAGGTTCAAATCATATTGAAATTGCTACTTGAAGACTTAAGAGTTTTAGGTTCCAAGAGTTTAAAATGTTTCTGGCTTCCTTTTTCCAGGGGCTTAAAGGAAGGTAGGGCAACTATTTAAACACTATGTTGGTGTGACGAGCACTGTGCTTAGCACTGTGAGTGGTCTCATTTCTACAGAAACCTGGAGCTCGAAATCAGAATGGGTCCCAGATTTGTCAGATACATTTTCCAGAGCCTGATTACTGTGTAGGAATGATCTGAGTCCAACTGAGGCAACCTGACTTCCCATGTAGTCTAAGCTCTAAGCCTGCAGGCCACACATCCAGTTCACCCGTGTCGCTCAAGTGGCAGCCAGGTAGTGTTGGGCCCTGACCAAGCTTGGCCAAGTTCTAGAAGATGCTAGATACAAAGTTAGTCCCAGAGGGGTGTGTAGCAGCACCCAGGAAGCAGGAGAAGTAATAGACAGCAGGACAGCTGGAAGAGAAACTCGGTGTACCCTCCCATCTAGAGAGATTTGGGAAGAAGAAAAGGGAAAACCACAAAGCAAAGCAAAATGCAGAACTTGGAAGTATGCGGCAGAAGGGTAAGCACAGGAGGAAGGGGCCTCAGCTCCAGTCTGCATTAACACACCCCAGCTCTCCAGGAAGTGCTTGTTGCTTCAACCTCAGAGCTCTCTGCTGTAAATCCTCCAGACCGGCTGGGAGCAAGATGGGGGAGATGGCTGGGAGCAAGATGGGGGAGATGGCGTTGTTTCCCATACTTGACCAAGTTTCGGACAGACTTCTATTTTTAATCTCATTTTCAGAGTGTTTCTGTGCCTTTAAGATGTAAATCTCAGTTTCTTCCTGCTTTACAACCCAGGCTGCCTTTCTTAGATGGGGGAGTCATTTTCAGAAAACATTGCAAGGAAGTGAGGGGCTAGATCGGCAGGAACTGAAGGTTGGAATTTTACTCTACACAAAACAGGAAACATTTGGATGCTTTGAAATATTAGACTGACTTGAAGCTATTGTGCTTAAAAACCTGAAAAAGTAGAAGAAAAAGGAGGGGAGAAAGAAGAAGAGGGAAAAACATGGAAAGGAGGCAGAGGACAATGCAGAAGGAGAAAGAAGAAGAGGGAAAAACATGGAAAGGAGGCAGAGGACAATGCAGAAGGAGAAAGAAGAAGAGGGAAAAACATGGAAAGGAGGCAGAGGACAATGCAGAAGGAGAGAGAAGAAGGGAAAACATGGAGAGGAGGCAGAGGACAATGCAGAAGGAGGAAGAAGAAGGGAAAACATGGAGAGGAGGCAGAGGACAATGCAGAAGGAGAGAGAAGAAGGGAAAACATGGAGAGGAGGCAGAGGACAATGCAGAAGGAGGAAGAAGAAGGGAAAACATGGAGAGGAGGCAGAGGACAATGCAGAAGGAGGAAGAAGAAGTGATAGAGGAGGAAAATAAAGAAAAGAGAGTGGGCGGGAAGGAAGGAAGAAAAGGAGGAAGGAGGAGGAAGATTAACAAAGAAGAGGAGGAGAGATTGGAGGAGACAGAGGGAATGAAGTGCTCTAGCTGCTCAATGAAGACAGACAGACAGATGGACACACACACACACACACACACACACACGAACATTTCCCCAGTGACCAACCTACAATATACAATGTAAAACTTCCTTTTAGTTCCATCAGGTTATTTTGTCCACAGCTTTATTGACATATATTTTATGTACCATACAGTTCATCTTTTATAGTGGGGAATCTCATACATTTTAGTATATTGCTGAAGTGGTACAAACACTACTACTGCCCCATTTTAGAACATTCTCATTACCCTAAAGGAAGTCAATAGGTTTTAGTAGTCACTAGTCAATTCCAAATCCTTATCCTAACTCTACATACATAATGCCTGATCTAAAGCCTGCCTTTATAGGTTGTTTGTTTGGATATTTTTCATAAACACAATCGTAAAACATGTATAGACATCTTCCTTGATGCAGTTAGAATAAGGATCAAGGCACATACACACTGTATTATGCATCAAAACTTCATTTCTTTTCCTCTTTCGGCTCTATTAAGGTCAGAGTGAAAAATAAAAACCATAGAGTAGATATATGTATGTATGGCATACACTGTGAGGCTGGTTCTGATACACTGTGAAATGATTAAATGTAAATAATTAACATAAATGTTAGTCATCAAGAAAGATGATATTCTCATACTTTAGCTGCAGGCCATGGAGAAGACAAACTGGAAGTGAACTGGAGAGTCTCTTCCTACTGGCCAGCTTTTTATAGGGTTGGAAGGCATTATACAGGATGCTAACAGAGAGAAGATATTGAGTGTCCTACCCAGTTCTTCATCCTGTGTGCTATACTACCAACACACCTGGCAAGATGTACCAACTGGTGTAACAGTGGCATGACTACTATGAAGTAACCAACCACTTTGTGGTTGGATTTGAGATTCACTCCATGGGAGGAAATTACTTCTTGGTACTGCAGACATGGGCAAAAGCATGAATAAGTAAATAATAGTGTTCTAACTAATAGTGTTCTGTACCCCAAATTTCAAATCAAGATGTAAGGGATGGTAGAACATTTCCTCAATTAGTACAAATTAATAATCATGTCTCAGGGATGACCTCATCATAATGACCAACCTCCTCTCAATCATCATTGAGCACTTTCCTCCTCTCATCCCAAGCCACAAAAGTCTTGTTTCTTAGTTAATAACTCTAGAAAAATATTTCTAGATTTGGGGGGGTCAGAGTTCAGCAGAATTATCTAAAACTTCCAAAATTATTAGGAGAAAGAAAATACTCAGGCTGTTCCTTGGAGTAACCAAAATAAAGAAGAGGAGGTGGTGGAAAGAGGAGATATTTTGCATTTGAACTAGAAAATCAAAAGTAGGGCATTAAAATTAATATAAGAATATCAGAAACAATTCTTGGAGGTTGACATGGAGTCAGCAGCAAAAGTGAATGACATCTAGAAAATAAAGTCATGCAGACACTCCAATTATAAAAGTGAAAGGATGTCTTATGTCTATAGAGAGGTTATTTCAAAGTATAGATGGCTGTATCAACTGTTACCTGGAAACTTGCTAAAAAGGCAAATTGCCAGGCTCTACTGGACACCTTGACACCTACTGATGCAAAAGCCTTGGAGGAGGCATGCTCTGTGATGTAACTAGTCTTTCTGTCTCGGATTATGCCGAAGTTGAGAACAACCATCGCTGTGGTGCTCAACAATGGGGGAGAATGACGACCAGTGTGGTCTGTCAGAGACAGAGCCAGGAGGAAGTGTGTGCCTAAGCTCAGCCATACTGCCAAGCCAAGGGGACAACAAGGCTGCAGTACAAGGGCCATCACAAGAATATACCCAGGGTCAGTGTGACAGCAGCATCCTCAACCTCCGTAGACTCGTGCTCCAGCCTCCAGCGACCCCGTGTTTGCACTCAGTAATATGCTGTGTGCTGATGCAGGACTATGTCTCCAGCATGGAAAAAGTTTATCACCTAGAAAGAGCAGGAACCTATGCAAGGAGAAGAGCAACTTCAACGTCCCATTTTCAGAAAGCACATTCGGTCTCTGAAAGACCTTAAAAGTTTTCAGCTCTGCTACAACAATGAGAAAATAAATCGGAAACCTGTGCTGAAGCTGATCACAGCCAAACTGGCAGGTTTACTTCATCAAACCATCCTGGGAAGTTTTAAGATTGTTTTGACATCCTCTCTTGATTTCCTTAAAAAAAGAAAAATCCCTTTCTCCTTTCCATGCCTGTACCTTGACAAGCTTTCGAAGGCAGACACTTAAACTGAAAGAAGAAAAAAAACGTCTGAAGCTCTTATAATCACTAATGGTTCTCCAAAGAGTGTGGCGCTTTAACATCCTTGAAGTGTCTTAAATGCTTCCGAAGAGCCACGCTTTGGAAGTGATGGGGGTTTGGTTCGTGGAAAATGGTGATTAATTTTGAAATGGTAAGAGCTCTTTTGGGGTGCTGGAATTTTTAAGTGCACCATTTAAGGCACTTGCTTTCTGCTTCTTAAGAACTGAAACTGTTTAACCTTTCTTAGTTTACCAAAGTTCAAGTGCACCGCAGTGGTTTGTGTGGATTTCAGATGCTGTGATAGTGTGATAGGAGGGCAATTAATTAGAGTCGGAATCAAGAGCTTAACAGAGCTCTCAGGAAGAGGGCACCCACCCACCTGCGCTCTCCAAGGAACACCATGATATGTATATACTAACAGCTCTGAATAAACGCTATTAATTTGCCTTCTATGTAGGAAAACATGAGATAATTTCTTAGGAGGAATTTGTCAACAACGTAATTACGCTAAACTATCAGCATAAGGGACCCACATTTTGTGCAAACTCCTTCTCCGCATGAATGTGGAAAAGCAGTCAGTGCAGAGCAGCAATGTCTAAGTCTCAACTGGGGTTCTCCATCCTCTGCCTCGATCTTCCACTCCTGGACCCCAGTCCTGACACCTAGGGCCTTTTGGAATCACAGTTCAAGTCCCAGTGACAGTTCAAGTGGCAGTGCTGTACTCCCCCTCCCCCAGCCTCGTGCCTGCACACATGTGCATGTACACACATGTGTGTGTGTGAGAGTGAGCATGCACACACACACACACACACACACACACACACACGACCTCTTTTTCTGAGTGTAAGAGTCAGAAATCAGTATCTGTTATCATTCCTCAGGCACCATCCACCATCCTCTTGACACACAGTATCTCTGTGTCCTGGAGCTCACTAAGCAGGCTAGGCTGCCTGGCTACTGAGCCCCAGGGAGCCACCTGTTTCTTCCTTCCCACTGCTGAGATTACCAGCACAGGCCACCAGTCCCACTTTTTACTGGGTCTGAGAATCAAATTCCAGTTCTTATGCTTGCACAATAAGCAATTCACAGATGAAGCCAGTCTTCCCAGCTGAGAGTCTGCTCTTCTGGAGTGAAACAACTTGTGATTCTACGCATTCTAAAGCTATGGTTCAAGTGAATTTTCTAGGTCACTCATCATCACTTCCAAAGCACTTTGCATGTTCCTTAAGTTGTCTATCTTAAAAAACCATTGTTCCCCCAGAGGTAGAATAATGGAGAAATCATAAAGAAACAAAAAAATTACCTTCACTTCTCAGTGAAGTTTGGAAACACTAAACATTCCAGAGATTGGCCTTCCTCATCTGCAAATTAGGGACACAAACATCCCATGGCCATAATAAATGTAAATGAGCACTGATTGGGCACTTGGGCACTTGCAACATGCCAGTTATACAAATTGCTTTGCACATATTGAAGCTTTTTGTCTTTCTAATAACCATTAAATGTGGGGATGTTATCATTTATATACCTCGGAGGAGGAAATAGGTACATACAGTGTAAATAATAGCAGGTCCAGGATCAGAGGAACAATGTGTTAATACAGGAACTGAATCTATTACTATTATAATGACCTTACAAGGCAGTTGCAATGGGTATGTCATAGCACTACATTTAAAAACATTTTTGTTACACAGTTGTCATCTGTATTTGCTAAGGTAATCACCTTTAAATAAGTAAACTGGCTTACAAGAACATCCTGTGATAACATGTGGTAAGCAGTAAGAAGCTTAATGATGTGTGGCTAGCTAGAAAGACACAGTAACCCACTTAAATACACCTCCTGGTTCCTAGAATGGAATGGAATTCATAATCCTGCCACTAGTTAATTCAAAGTCAAGAGAAATGGAGAGCATATGGCCTGTGTAGAATCCAAGAAGCACCAGGGCAGGGACCCGTGCAGTAATACCTACCTGTTTTGGATAGTTTCCCAGCACTCCTGGTACTGGATGTGCTGTCGCCCCTGGTCAGCACCGTGATGCCCCCAAAACTTGCTGTCTTGGTCATGGTGGGCTTCAGATTGCGGTTGGAGCTGTCAGAATCTGTGCTGCTCCAGGCCCGCTGCTGGTCGGACCACCTGAGCTCAGTCTCTGAACTGCTCTGTCGGCTCCCAGAAGTTCTTCCAGAACTGTCTCTGTTACCCCTGCACAGCCATCAGAGAGATTAATGGGGACAGAGTTACGCATCATGATGGGGTGGGTGGGCATAGGGGCCCTTAGTAGAATTGTCTCCTACACTCTTCTCATTGACTCTTTAAACAGACCCCCCCACACCTTCAACAGTGTGACAAATACCTGAATGACATAAAGACACATAACATATGACACATGGCACACATTATACATGGGAAAACCAAACCTAGAGACACCATGATCCCTCTGCCAGTGAAGGAGACACAGTTGAGGACAAGTGCTATAAAATATAATTGCTAGCTTCTCTCTCTGAGAGGAAAGTGGGTATGCTGTCCTGACTCGAATCAATAATGAATTCATATTCAGAAGTAATTATCATCTTACATAATTCTAAAAATAATTCCCAGGAAAGAAGTTTTTTTTCTTCTTTAGCATTAGGTAATTGGCCTTGGAGAAAAGCTATTTATTAATTCATTTTCTAACTTTATGTTCTGTGTGATATCTTTGTTCAGCAAGATTTTGACAAAAGAGCTATCACAGAATTACCACATGAACACACACTAAGAATTTGCTTTGAGAGTTTGGCCATAGAAGTCTAAGGAAACAACTTGTTATCCTTCTCGGGTAGAAAAGGCTATGAAAACACCAGAGCTGACACTACTTTGGCATGACGTTTTCCAAGGGCATCAGCGGAAGTTTCAAATGCCTCTTGAAGTGAGGGCACACATTCATTCAAAATGCAGCTAATATAATGAAAGCTAACCAACAGCTAAAGCTGAATTTCGAGGACTCCAGAGTTTCTTCAAGGAATATGCAAATTGGCACTTGTTTTGTGAGGAAATTTGGAGTTTCATTGGTTCCCAATCTCCTTAAGGAATACCTTTGTGTGTGTTTACAAAGCTTTTGCTTTTTTTTTCCCCCTGTGGAAATAAGGCATCATTAAAGTACCCTGGAATTCTCCTGGCTATAAATGAGTGAAGGGGACATTAGTCACAGATAATAAGTGTAATTGTAACCTCACATCAGTATGGGATGTGATGCAATCAATGCTTGAATCAAATCTCAATCCCCAGTCAGAAGCTCTGTTTAAAAACAGTCCTTTTAAGCCAACAATGTCCTGTGGAGCCACCAGCAGTGTGTGTAGATATCTGATAGAAATACTCTGGCCAATGAGCAGAAGTAGCACCCAAGTTTTAGCTCCTGTTTCAACGTATGAAACTTTGGTTTGTGTCTGGGAAGATTAAGAAGGGAAATGTATTTGAGAATTAGTCAGGGCAAATAGGAGCTTTGAGAAGCACGGGAGGGGATGAATAGAGAAATCAGAGAATAAAAAGCATTTTCATGAGGCATGGGGGATGAAAATACCCCTCATCAATGTTTTCTTCCAATGTCTATTGTCAGAGTCTTGGGATAGTTGGTTTCAGAAGTAACAGGCACCAAAGAGGAGACATGATATATAAAGGAAGTTGCTCATCAATGGCCAGGTGCCTTTAATTTACACACTCTTAGAAATGTAAGAAAGCTATTAGAGCTGTTGGACAGAAATTGGTTCTCCAGTCCAGTTTGTTTTTCAAAAATCCAAATTCAACTATTCTTTTCTTGTATAATTCTGATTATGTTGACACATCTTTGACAAAGTACAGACAAACCATTCCTTAACAACTGTGAATGAACCAGGAATGGGACAATAACCTCTTCTGTAGATGATCTGGGAGATTCATTATAGGGAAACATTGGCTTGAAACTCTGGGGTGCTCCTGATCCTCAACATGCTGAATGAGGCAGAAAGAAACCCTCCAGATGGGGGTGATCATTTGTTCCATCACTGACCCTTCTATTCGTGACTTCTGCACCTCCATGGCAGCAATGTAGACTTTCAAGAGTGCCACTGTGGCTGAGAGTGTCTTCTCAAAGGAGGAGACCTCCATTTTTCCTGGATTGCAGCTGACACCCTTTGGCATGGTAAAGCTGTTTCTCGCAACTCTATGAGCTCACCAGAGTTGAACTACATCCCCTAATTCACAAAGTGACCTAAGATACTCTTCTACGATACCAGCTCAACGCATCATCCTAAGCCAGGATCTACACATTTTTTAGAGGGGGGAATTTAAGTTTCTGCTTTTAGGAAATCCCATAAATAGAACTCAAATTAAGATGCATAATCTTTTATGGTTTTTAGATATGTACAAATATAAATATAACTCTTATTTTTTCTATCTATTGGCTATTTATCCCAATAATAGCAACCTGGGTTCTAAAATGAATTCTAAGTCTACTTGGAATCATAAACATTACAGAAGAGCACTTACTCAAATGCTTTCCCACTTTTTAAAGTTCAGCTTGGTCTTTTCTAATCAACCTCTAGGAAAATAATGGCCACTGGAGCTGGTCCTTTTGTAGATAACTAGTATTCTATTCCACAATAGTCATAAAGCAGATATACACTTTATATTCTGTTTCTCTGATTATTGATAATTGCTTATATTTTCCTTCATTTGTGAAAATTATGTTTTTATTTTCTCAAAATGAGGGGTAATATGTACTCAGAATCACCTTTACAAGGCTCTATGTGCCCTGAGTTTCTTGAACTTAGTGACTGGGGTAAGTGATGGGTTCCATATTGCGGTTGCTTCCCTGGTTATACCAGAGCTCTGCTACAAGGTAACTTGGGAGTTGTGTCAAAGGAATCGGCTTTTAAAAGGTTTGTGTCTAAGCTGTATTGAAAAGTGTGTGAGCTCAGGGTCTGGGCTTCCAATGGAAAAATTCAAGGTCACTCTCTTAAACATTTAAAAGTACAAAGGTGGAATATTTAATGATGTGCAAGGAATTTGCTAGAGCAGTGTTCAGCCTAGGAAAGTTAGAACTGAGAAAACAAGGTTCCACTTCTCTTTTTCCACTAATGCGTGATGGAACAAGATACCTCCACTAATGATGAAGACCTCAGTTCAAACTCCTAACAAAAGGCTTAGCAGAAGCACACAGTTAGTCCACTTTTCTTCTTTTTTGAAATTGGTAAGAGTTTGTTTGGTGTTTTAGCTTTCTTCTAACAGAGTTGACCCCTGTATTTAGAAGTGTATCCATATATACACAATAGATACTGACTATTTGAAATATTTCATTATAGTTGGTTTGTGTGCATGTACTAAGTCATGTGTGTGTGTGCATGTACCAAGTTCTGTGTGTGTAACTCAGAAGACAACATACAGGAGTAAGTTCCCTCTTTCTACCATGCGGGTCCTGGGGATTGAACTCAGGTAATCATGCTTAGTAGTAAGCACCTTTATTCCCTAAGTCATCTTGCAGGACCAGATAATGAATGTTTTTAATAACACTGTTTACAGCTGGCCTTATAAAGCATGTCAGGAAGACACTTAAGACAGTGGTGAAAAAGGGGATGGCTTATCTGCTCGCACAGAGGTGTCAGCCTAACATAGAACACACATAAAAAAATAATAATTAATTCCTTCCCCTCACTCCACAGATCTTGGTTTAAATAGTCTATTATAACTGAAAGAAACCTCATAATTTCCTTTTAGAAATTAAGTAGGTGCTTAAGATAATGTTTGAAAACCACCAGCCACCCTAGCAGAGTTATCATCAATTAGTTTCTGGTATTGGGAATGTACATATATTTATAGCCTTTCAGAGAAATTTTAACTCTGCTTAATTTCTCAAAGTGGGTTTGAAAGTGTTCAACCAGTTTAAACAGAGAATCATCCACATGGAGATACTTCTGAGAAGAACCCAGAAGGAGGATACACAGAGTTATGGCTTCCCAGTGCTACTTCTCACCCTGTCTAGTTGTGCATCAAACGCTACAAGAAGAGAACTGAACAAGTTTTATTCCATGAACAGAACTATTGCATACTAACACTTATATTTCACACGGATTCTGTCACATCGTCTGAAAACACAGTTTACGAAAGGAAACCATACCAACCGAAAGAGCTGTCTTTTCTTATAGGTCTCATTGCATATGTGAACGCCTTCTTGGAGCCTACTGGGAATGAAAAACATGATATTTATGACACAAAGCCTAAAGGTATGCAATGCCCTGTGCGGAATGGGTGTGCACTTCACCGCAGCACACTTTGCTTGTAAATCAATCCCACAAATTAGGATTTATCTGTGTGATGTTCAAGTTTGTATGAATGAATTCATGGCAGCATGTAAGGCTGTCGCCCCTATCCTATGCAAGATAAAGGGTAAGGGAGAAATGTGGAAACAGAAAAGGGGATACAAGAGCCTGGTAGACCCAGGATAGAAATTTATTAGACACATTGGTTGAGATTTTCCTTAAGATAAGTATAAAATTATTTGTTAATCATTTGGATTCATGGAAAATACAAATGTTCCAGAAGTAAGTGTCCAAAATACAATTTATTTTTTCCTGAAGGGACATTCAACTTGCTATTTCCTTCTTGGACTATCAGGACATGTTCATATAGGCAATGGACATATATGACCAGTTATTAGAATGCTGACTATGATCCAACTAGATTATCTAGGGCATTTAAGAATCTGTGACTAGGATTAGGGAATATTGTAGGGAAATGATCGGTTAGATGACTTAGAAATATGTTTCCATGGAAGTGTACTGTCTATACTCAATGTCTCTGGTATGGATGTAAAATTTTGAAATGCTTTAGGTCATCACCAAGATAACCAAATTATGGACTCTCAGTTTTACTAAAAATGGGAAATAGGTGGCTCAAAATGTTTTAATTTAGAATGAACGTATTTTACCTTTTTTTCCACCTGAAAGATGTAATTCTCTCAACATTGCCAACTGCTAATACAGTGACTTTTTTCTTTTAGTTATTAGTTATCTCTAATGTCGGGTTTAAATTCTGAATACTAGCATTTAATCAGCTTCAATTTTAATCAGTCTTATAGGGACACCCATTATGCTGACACCTGAAATACAATTAACAGCTGCTTTATTTAGGAATCCTGTGTTTCTAAATCAAGTTCAGATTTTGATTAATGTTAAACGTGGTTAGTAAGCTCATGTCACTTCCTTCATTTGTCTGAACTCCAAAAATTGAATCATGGGGACATTTTAATAGCTGTGACAGTTTTAAAATGTTTCAGGGGGGTACGTTCTGAAAGGTTACATTTAAAATGTTTGCCCTTGACCCCAAGACACTCTATAAACTCCATAACACTCTCTTTATCAAGCACCTCCCCGGCTAAGGCTTAAGCAAGCCTGACCGATAAATGTGAAAGTGCTTTAGATGAACTTTTCATATCAGCCCTTTCAGGGAGACAGGGAGACTTTTATAATTTGAAATTTAAAACCATAGTAATCTGTTTCTTTCTTTCTTTCTTTCTTTCTTTCATAGCTATTTAAGGTGATAAGACATACAAAATGGCTGAACACACTTTCAGCAGCCTGGCCAGTAAGCCAGAGGAGCTGAATGCCCACATGGTCTCAGCTCTTATCTCATTTCAAGGCTGCAGGGATTACATCATCGGGAGAGCCGGAAAGAGAGACTTTGATGGAAAATGCTTCCGCCTCTGTCTGGAAGTAACTGAGAAAACTTCTTCCACATAATCAAACTGTTTTTAAACATATCAAGTAACATATATGTGATATATATGCGTGTATACATAGATATATGCATGTTCTCATACATATATTCAAGTATACACTTATATATGCAATACATATGAACATGAGAATGTATAGGACACATGACAAACCATTCCTCTAAAGACACAAGAAACATAAATTTCATTTTACCTGTTGTCCAAAAATAGGCTTTCCTGGGAGCAAACTGACTGAAAAATAAAAATAAAAAAAGGCACCATGTCAGATGTGCTGGATTGGCCGAACTCTCTCAAATCCTTGCCTGATTTTAAAACTACTTTCCCTTCCTAGGGGAAAAAGAGTAAGAAAATTATGTACAAAAGATGAGTATTTTAAAGGGAGAAAAATAGGTTAGTGTTGTTGGCAGAGTAACCAGCTCTCAGCAGCACAGGGTATTTTCCCATCAGGAACTCTTCAAGAATGAACAGATTAAGTTCCAGGTCAGGATCAAGGTCAAAAGAGAAATGTGAGTGAAGCAGCTGGAGAGACAGGAGACGGCTGAGTCCTGAGCAGCCGTGCCGCATCATATACCAGTCAAGGGCGCAGGTTCAAATCAAGACAGGAGAAGCAGATTCAACATGACCCTCCTAGGGACGGCAGAGCTGGGAAACCAAATCCTGAAATCCCTGTCTCAGTGCGATACATCCTCATGGAAGACAGAGACTACAAGTCTCTCAAAATTGGAGAAATGTCATCAGTTATTCTTCTGAATTAGAGGGAAGGAGCAGAACAGAAGACAAACATTGGCCAATAGAAACTAATTTAAAAAATGCTATCCAGTGTTTTTTTCTCTGGTTTTTCACAGAGAAAGCCAACAGCTTTCTTGTTTTACTTCCTTTACTGACCCAACTCTAGGGAAGATAAAGTTCTACCATTTTTATCTGCTGAGAAAAGATGAATTGGGTTAAATTTAAACAAAGAAGAGAAGTCTATGTAGAGTAGGGACGTGCTCATGTAACAGCACACTGTGCCTGGGAAATAATTCAGAACTGTATTCAGTGTTAGGTGTTTATCTGTTTATGCACCATTTTCTGTGTGTAAAATGAATAAGTGACCTAGAGAAGGGATAAATAGGAACCTAAGAGATCCGCTGCACTACAGAAATAGCAATGACTCTTTGGCAACTCTTTGTGCATGTGTGCACACATCCATGTATGTCTGTGCACATAAGTATGTGCATTTGTGGAAGCCAGAGGACAAGTTCAGGCATTGTTCCTCAGGGGCTGTCTATGTTGTATTCTCTTGGCTTGTTGCTTAAAAACTATTTTGTGTGTGTGTGTGTGTGTGTGTGTGTGTGTGTGTGTGTGTGTGTGTGTGTGTGAATTTTCGAGTCTGTGTGCATGCCAATGTGCACATGTAGGGTTCAGAAGACAACTAGCAGGAGCCATTTCTTTCCTTTCCTCAGGTGTGTATTTGGTTGTCAGACTTGGTGACAGGTGCCTGTACCTGGGAGCCATCTCACAGATCTCCACCTTGCCTTTTAGAACTAGGGTCTCTCATTGACCTAGAACTCACCAAGAAGTCTAGGTTAGTTGGCCGGAGACCCTTGGATCCACCTGTTTCTGCCTCCCCAGGGGGGTTATAAACATGTGATATCATGTCCCACAGTTTCTTGGTTGAGTTTGGGGGGTCAAACTCATGCCCCTATGCTTTGCCCACTGAACCATCTCCCCAGTCCCTGTCAGCAATTCTTCAAATTAAACTTGCAGTTCATGAAGCCAGCACTCAGAGAGGCAAGCCAGATATTGTTTCCCGCTCTCATTCTGACAGTGAAACCACTTTCTTCCACTAAGCCAAAGGTTATGTTTAGACATGATGTCTCCTCAATGGTTGGGAAGAAGTCAGTGGGCTCTGTAATGTTACCACAGGGGCCTGGAACTGGAGAGTCAATCTATTTGAGGAAGCTGATCAAAGACAGTCTGACATCTTCAGACTTTTTAACCACCAAGTATTTGGGGAGGAGAAATCCAACAACTTCAGTTCTTTGAGTGAAAAAGCAAGACACCAACACGTCAAAGACACTTGTCCCCCAAACATCCTTCAAGAGTCTGCACCTGAGTGTTTAGAAAGACCCTCAAAAGCAGCCTCCCCAGGGTCCCCACATTCTCATAAGTGAGACAGCTATGGGCTGTGACTCAGTGGCTGGTGGAAATAAACTTTGGAAAAGGGAGTATTAATAACTTGCACATTTAATGGCAGAGAAAGATGAAAGTGTCACAGTAATTAAGTACAACATTTAAAGCTGTCACTTATGTGCATACCTGAATATTTAAAAGACTCTTTTTTTTTTTTTCAAAGAAGAAAATGCTTTTGCTTAATGGATTAGAGTTCTCCCCCACATCCCACCCCCACTGTGCTCACAGCCTGTGCCCTCTCTGCAGCTCTCAGAGGACAGACCCCACACTTGCTGGAGGGTCCAGCAGGAGCCTTCTGGGAGCCCTATCAACATACCAATGTCTTCAGCAAAATTCCTTCCAGGCAAGACAGGCCTTGCTCAAATACCCTGCTTTGTTAACCAGTCTTCCCAAGGTTAGTAACATCAGGTGGAAAGGACCAGAAAAATGAGATTAAATTCTCACCAAAGAAATCATTATATCTTCAAATATTACTGACAATGGAGATACATTGCTTTATTATTCTAGAGCTAAATTTGTCTGCACACTTACAACTATTCGGCTCTCAGGTAGCAGTCTTATCTCAAGATACCAAGCTTTGGAAACCGTATTTGAAATTGTTTCTGGTAACATGCCTATTTTGTTCATGTGGCTGCATATATAAAAACACACACAGACACACATGCACACTGCTTCTCAAACACTCACACTCACATCTGAGACACCAAAACACTTCCTCAAAACACTCGAGAACATTTCTAATTTTAAAATAAACTTGAGTTTTGCTAAAGTGTAAATAAGATGTCTGAATTCTCTATTGTTAGCTCTGGAAAATGTATACACATATTCGATATTTGAGTAGCCACTATTTAAGTAATAATTGCTGAACAAAACTAGTTTGCTCATTCTGCTTTTTTTTAATTATAAGAAAATAAAATCAAAGAATAGTTGGAATAAAGATTAGACTTCTAAAACACAGGGTCCTTATGCTGGATCCTTTGTATTGGTTTAATAGTTGGCTTAATGTAAAGTAACTATTATTTTGTGAAAAATGATCTTTTCATGAAAAACGATCAACAGTCTGAGTGTAATAATGATCAGTCAGCTAGAGAACTGCAAGTACATAGATGAGTGCCCCATGAAGTGGGCTGTCAATGTGGGAGTGGTGAGGAAGATGTGTTAAGGTGTATATGTGTTCAAGAAAGTTTGTCTGGCCATGTTCCTTCCTTGAAATCTTGAGTTGATAGATGCTGCGACAGCCTCTTGTGACTACTGAGTCACCTCTTCTTCCTTGTTAACACTCACAGTCTTCCCACATTGACCTGAGGTTGGTCTATGTATCCGACAGTATGCAGTGGGAAACGGTCACCTCCACGATGACATCGTAAGAGACTGTTGTTTCCGTTTGCCTCATGACTCACATTCTCTTGGGGAAGTGAATTGCCTTTTTTGGAGACATGCAGCAGTCTCCAGGGAAGTTCATCTCAAAGAAAATGACCAACTATAGACTGGTCCCAGGGAACAAGGGTGGCCTTCCAGTCACCACATGAGTAGATCTGAAAGCAGCTGGCAGTTACTCAGTCAAACCTTCAGCTAGGAGCTGAAGGGAGACCTCTGTTACAGATTAGGTGTTACGACCACCTGCCAAGCTGCACCTGATGCCTGACCCAGAGAGACAGTGGGGTCCTAAGTAGTTATTGTTTGCTTTATGCTGCTAAATTTGGGGTTAACTTGTCCTATTCAGTAACGAGGTAACCACAGAGTGCCAGAGACAGGAGTATCTCTGTGAGCTAAGGGAATGACAGTGGGCATAAGTTTTCCCCTTTTAGGCTTTGAAGGATCAAGAGAACTTACAGAAAGGTATTAAACAATGGGAAGATTTTTTTCCCCCTTAGAAACACAAACAACATCATTTTACTAATGATATTAAGGGTGTCACTCAACTATATAGTATCTGTGAGTGTGTTTTGACTGAAGGACACTCATTTTAAAACCCTGCCCTGCATTATCAGGTTGCAGGTAGTGCCAGAAACAGACTGGCAAATGATGTGGGTCGAGGGTTAGTGAGGGACCGGCAGTAGCTTTGCACCAAAGCTCTGTTGTACTTAGATCTACTTTTTAGTTGAAAAGAGTGTTATCCATCCCTGTGGCCAGTGAAGCTTAATGTGGCCAAGAGTGCCTCAAATATTTTTCCTGGTCTCTCTCTCCCCAGTGAAAGAAAGTCATGTAGGCCCCTTTTCCCTGTGGCCATCTTCCTGGCCAACTATTAAGAGGAGTTAAGAATCATGGGTTCCATTCTTATTCCAGACAGGCATCTGAGATGGTGTTTCCTGGTACCTAGCTCCAACAATGGAGCATAACTTTATTAAGATAATAACAAAAACAAGGTTGTTTATGCCATGTCTGTATGATGGACATTTGCTTCTCAATATATTGACACATTGTCAAAACCCTTGACTTGTCAGAACCAGAGCGTGAGGGAAAACTGCTTGTATATAGGTAAGGACACGTAAAAGAGGAGGGAGTTAAAGACTGAAAGTCAAACGAACACTCTGGAGAACTTGTCTCTACGAAGGTCTTCAGAAGCAGATGGGCTGCCGCCCAGCTCACTACATTCTCTTGCCCTCTCATGACAAGGGCAAAACTTTCCATCATTTTATTTTCTCTTCCAGGGAGAATATGTCTCGTGGTACATTCTGACCATAACAAGGGTGTAAGTAGGCCACACATAGTTTCTAGACTTGCACCCACCCCTCCAGCTATGCTGACCTTCCTTTTCCTCTCTCATGCTCTCTTAATTTAAGAGCTCTGGACCAGAGTATGCAATCATTCAATTTCTATTTCGGTGTTTCAAGAAGAGTAGGGATATAAGGGTGAAACCTAAATGGCAGATGTTGCCTCTTCTATGGCTTCAAGCTACAGAATTACCGCAAGTGGGGGTTGCTGACACTTGCCCTGGCTTGAAGCAGTCTCCCCAAAACTGAGGAGCAAAGTCCAAGTGTCCTGCTGCCTTGGTGTGTCCTCCAGCAACAAGCCACAGCAACAGAGATTCGGCCTGACTGAGCATGCTGGAAGTGTTGACTACAGAGGACCACACTGGAGCATCCTCTACAGCCTACAGAGATCTGGCTCCCTAACACCCGAGGAAGCTCTCAAGAATAGAAAGAAATAGAATAGAAAGCTGTGGCAATTTCTCAGTGTTTTAACTTGTTTGCATTAAAATCCAGTTTTTAATTTTTATATTTTAATTTTTATCTAACTAAATTGTACTTGATCTTGAGCATAATGGGTAAAAACAGTTTTTTAAAATCCTAACCACATTTTCTTTGTTTTGTTTTGAATTAAAAGACGTTGTTTTGTGATTGTTGTGATTATTCCCTTGACAAATTGTTCATAGATTTGATTTGATCTGAAATCAAGAGGGGGAGTGAACATTATCATCTAGCTCTTGCATAATGAAGTGTACATATTTGCCAAGAATTCAGAAGATACTCTGTATGTGCTCATGAGCACACACACAGGCATCTGTGCAAGCAAGCCTGTGTGGTATTTGCACATGTGTATGCCTGAGTCCTCGTGAGGAGACCAGAGATGCACACAGATACTTTCTTCCATTGCTCTCTACCTTGCTGTTTGTAGTCAGAGTCTCTCCATGAACCAGGAGCTTACAAATTAACTAGACTGGTTGGCCGATGAGCTCTCAGGATTGACCTGTTGCTGCCTCCCTAGTGCTTGTGTTACAGAAGTCTGCTCCCATGCCTGCCTTTAACAGGGGTGCTGGGATCCAAACTAAGGCTCTCTCATGTTTGCACAGTGAGCATTATACTCACTGAGCCATATCTGTGTCCCTAACGGGTTTTTTTTTTTTTTTTTTTTTTTGTACCTCCTTGTGATCTGTTGCCTACTATGGATGTAAAGGAATTTCAGAAACTGACAACCCTTTCTACATTGACTGTCTCTTTCAGTGACCCAAATCCCACCTCTATCCCGGGAGCACACGCAGACTCTTGGCCTGTTTCCATCACATCCCTGAACCAGGTTCTTTCCCAGAAATGTTTGTGTTTTCTGCTTTGTGACTCTCTCCTTGGTCCCAGCCTCTGTACTCCCTGACAACTTCCTATCTGAGAAAGGAGGGGCCTTTCTGCTAGTGGAAGGACCGTACTCAAGAGGCAATTAAAACAACTACTCACATCATGTGCAAATATTCTCTCCCTCACTCTCTGATATTCCTCTTCTCTCTCTTCAATTGATTTACTTCGTCTGTCATCTCTAAATGGATGCATTCTGTTTTGCTGAACAGAGAAAAGAAATCAGGAGGGTTATCCATGTTGAGCTGTTAAGCAACTGTCAACTGAGAATAATAAATGCTCATTTAGATAACTGGAGCCTGACAAGCCCCACTCCCTCTGCTCCCTGAGGAGGCTAGGCCATGGGATATGAACTTACATATGCATGTGTTTGTGTGACTGTGTTGTGTGTGTGTGTGTGTGTGTGTGTGTGTATTTATGTGTGCCTGTGTGTATGCACATGTGTGTGTGGTGTGTGTATGTGTATGCCTGTGTGTATCTGTGTATGATACGTGTGTGTGTATGCATGTGTGTGGTGTTCATATGTGTATGTATCTGTGTATGTGATGTGTGTATGGTGTGTATATATGTGAGTGTATCTGTGTGTGTGACCTGTGTGTATGTGTGTATGCATGTATGTGTGATGTGTGTATGTGTGTGTTTGTGTGTGTGGTTGTATGTGTGTATGCAGATATGTCTGTGTGTATATGTGTGTGGATGTAATATCTGTGTGTGACATGTTGACATAAGAAGGATGTGCTACTCCTGGTTAATCCTCTATGAAGGAAAGCAGAATGAATATTATAAAAATGAGCAGCCTTGCATATGCCTTGGTCCAGAGATGGGACGGCCAGGAATAGTCTTTTTTCCCTTTGTTGTATGTATCTGACCACAACAGGAGGCAAATTGTTGATGGAAAGAGTGAAGAGTGAGTACAGGGGGCCTGAGGGATGAAGTGGCTGTGAATATTTGGGATCTCAAGAAAGAACAAGAAAACAGAGAAAGTGGGAATCTGAAAGGAACCTGTGGCTAGTCTCTGGCTCCTAAGGTTTCTTTGTTCACTCAGTGGCTGACCTGTGAACTGCCTGGGGAACATAAGCTTGGCCTAGAAAACCTGTTTGTTGATAATGGTCAATGCCAGTGCAAAGAAAGCTAAAATAACGATCCAAAGGACCCAGCATGAGAACCACGTGTCCTCACCCTCTCTGACCCACCACTCCCTGCATCTCAGCTGCCCTCCCACCTATTTGAGAACCACGCGTCCTCACCCTCTCTGACCCACTCTGGACAAAACACTCTCTGCACTCAGTGCATTCATCCATGCATTCATCAGACACCCACAGAGAATACAACACAGGCATGTTTCGGAGTCAACAAGAGCCCCGGTGCAGCTCAGGGCTGGGGGCAGCAGTGGTGGGAGACAAGGAGGTACAAATGAGGAATAGACTTTTCATATATCTATTTTTTAAAAAAATCACATTCAGAGATGCACACGCCGGCTCAGGGTGACTCACTTTGAGTAATTAATATGAGATCTTGAGTAAGATACGTATTGTCTTACCTTTATGAATTTTAAAGCAAAGGCATGTTTCAAAAATATCTATTTGGATTGTCAGGCACCAAGTACAATTGTCAGGGCACTCTCCTGACTTTCTGATGTTCTTATTGTCATTATTATTGTTTTCTTTTTTGATTCTGTCATTTACTTAGTTGTCTTGCTTGTAACCTCCCTCCTTCCTACCCACGCAGAGGAGAGATCCAGTGAGGTCTCTTTACCTTTGCTCAAGGACCATGATTAGGGTTCTTGATAGATAGAATGACATAGTGTTTTGTCACAGGCAAAATACACAGGGATCAGTTTTTGCTACACTTCATGCAAACGAGCAAACACATTACACAGACCATAAAACTCGGGAAGAAGGGTGGGAGACTAGAACGTAAACATGATGCTTTTCTGTGAAGACTTATTTTTAGGATAGTTGCAAAATCCTCCTGTCCTCACCATAACAAGGTATGTTCTTTACAGCTACAGCGGTGGCTCATCCGTCCTCATTGATAATCCAGCTCAAATTGTGCACAACGGAAGGACAGAGCTGTAGGGAGTGGAGCGACTGGCAGAGTTACACAGACATCTGGAAATGCAGCTGACAAGCTTATCCCCACAGCTCGGAGCTTGCGGCATCCCAACCCCCACCACAACATGCAGCAAAGACTGCGCCAAGCACCACCCATGCAGCCCAACACAGAGCTTCTGCTAAGCAACTGGGGCAACACCATGTGGCTACCCACTGAATGCCAGAAGGGGAGGCAATGGAGGCCAAGGGGTTGGAGAGAGGGCAGCAGTTGTCAGAGGCAGAGGGGAGGGCTGGGAAGCAGGAGGGGACCACAGAGGGACAACAAGAACATCAATCAGCCCACCTTCAAAAACAACAACGTCAGTCACTCTCAAACTTGAGAACCAACCTGATTGTCTTCTTTATCAATACTAGAGTTATCTCGCTTCAAGATAAACCGCTTCTGGGATTCTTCACTTTTTTCATCTTTTAAATGTTCACAAAACCTTTGCTCTGGTCTGCCAGCAAAGTAAAACATATCAATAAAAAAAAGTATTTTTTTCCCATCTGATTAAACTTAGTTCTTAGTGTGTTTTCCCCCACAGTGGCATTTAACTTAAAAGAAAGAGAGGGAAGGAGAGAGAGGACAGGGGTTTATACTTGGTTGTGAAATTGGAATTGCTGGCAATATACAGGTAGGTCATAACATGTCACTTTACATGTGGGTTACAATACCTTTTGTTATTTCCAATTCAGAACCTTGCTTGCTGCATGCCCATCACCAGGGATGAACTTACAGAAACAGTAAAGCTCCCAACACATACAGCGCTTTGATGCTTTTCTTAGTTATTTTGACCTTTGGTAGTTCTCCAACACATAGAATTTCCCCATGCATACCCTCAAGCAAATATGCAGTTATTTTTAGTGCTCCTATTTTCTGGTATTGGGGATTGAATCTAGAGACTCTTGCAGGGTCTCTAATTCTGAGCTGCATCCCCTGCCTTCTTTTTCCTTTTCATTTTGAGACCTGATCTCACTGAGTTGCATAGACTGGTCTTGAACTCACTTTGTAGCTCAAGTTCATCTTGAGCCAGTGGCCTCCTGCCTCAGTCTCCTAAGTAGGTGGAATTACAGGTTGTGCCACCAGGCCCAGCTAACTACACAGACTTAAAACACAGCATCTGTCCTCTCACTCACATCTGGCCACTGCCTCTTAGCACACACTGAGAATCTTTGGGGTCCACTCTGAGAGTTTTGTTTACAGCTGTTCCTCTTCTCCTGATAATGAATGCTCTGAAATTTGGCTTCTTTAGCCCCTGACCTTCTGGTCCATGTTTTCTAGATCAGGTCAGTAATTAAGAAAACTGACGACATTTTGTTTAAACAATTTGTTTGTGATTAGTGTTCAGAGAAGGCTCTAAGTAGTTGCATACTACTGACTGGTCAATTGATTTTGCCAAATCTCTTAATTATTATGGGTTAGTTCCCCATGATTGGCACTTCACACACACTACACCCAACAATTGAGTTGAGGCTTGGGGGTCATCACAGAGGACTTCCTGAAGTGTTTGTCTCTGGGTTGAGAACAGCTGTCTCATGACTTCTGGAGTTCCTGCCTCTGCTGGGTTCCTAGTATCACAGAGGAAGCCACTTTATAGTGGCTACATTCTAAAATGGGTGACCAGCAATTAAGAAAATCTCTCCTCGCAAACAGCACTTTGGTGACAAAAGGAATTAAGTGTCTAATTCAAGTCAGAATGAGAAGCACCTTCTCCTCGACACTGGTCCATACATTAGGACAGCAGTGATAAGCAGGCAAGGGGAGAAAAGCTCAGCTTGTGCCAGCTACAGTGCAGAAGATTTATGAAATGATGCCATCCTCATGTCCCACTGTGTTGATAAAATGGAGTGCAGAAGGAGATGGCCTTTTTAAGATGAGGAAAGCATCCCTCAGTGATTATTTTGATTCCATAACTATAGATTTGTCCATGAAACCACAGTCATCGAACTGTGTGGTTACATCCCCATGGACATGATGGTGTAGTCCCTCTGACTATACCGTGCGCAAGGGGCTGGAAGTGAGTTCTAGGGGGGAGGTCTCACCCCTCAACTTAAAGAACCAAGGAGCCTCATCACATCATCTTGACCATCAATGTAAACATTTTCCACCAAACTTAAAATATAATAAAATATAACAAATAATCCGGAAGTGGAAATGGGACATTAGGAATGAACAAAGCTAATATAAGGTAGTCAATGAATACATGGGTCCCTTACTGTACAGTGAAGTCTTATGATGGCAACATGTTACAGTTACAGTTTGGGGTAAATGACAACTTCCCCAAATGATTTACTGTCCTGGCATTTCCAACCAACATTTCTTTGGCTGTTCTATCATTTTCTCCCCCATAGAAATTGAAATGAGGATGTCAACTTAAATAAAGATGTTGATTACATCAATGTTGATTACATCATATCAATGTTAATTAATCTCTTCTGCTATCCTCAGGCACTAGTCTGTTAAGCCCTAATAAATGAAATTATTTACCTAAATCTACAGCTATCCTTTTTGGATTTGCTTCTAACAGCCTGCAAATATTCACACCCAAATGAGAGGACCTGAGAAGATGGACATTTTGAGGCATGGTCACAAGGTAAATTTGTTTAGTCTAATTTCTTCTTTCAAGATAAAATGTATTTGAGTGAGAATTCAGAATGCTAGCTGGTAGGTAGCTTATGTGGGTTGGACACTGTTTCCTTACAAACCATAATCCTTAGTGGCCATATCCAAACCTGGTGCCAGGGAAACACTTGACTGAATGAATCAATCAATCAATGTATGGAGGAGAGACAATTTCGCTTAGCTGTGTACAAATCATTAAAGCTCAGGGACTGATCAAGAGTCACTCAGTCAGATATGAAGTCACAATTTCTGTAATTATAGAACAGGACATCAGAGAGTTTGGTTCACTGGAGCATAAATTCAAATTGAAAACAGAAAGATCATTAAACATTGAATTTATGTTTATTAATCATTAAAATCTTCTTACAAAAGTCCGAGTTTCTTGGGTAGGGAAGAAATCTCAAACCTCCTCATTTTTGGCTCCTTATTCCAAGAACATTTTAGTGTAAAGTGTGACAGAGTTCTATTTCAGCGTTCCTTCTGAAATCTCATTTCATCATAGTGCTGTTATTTATAGCAACATTTATCACATATATGTATGTGTGATGAAAAATATTTGATAGCATGACAAAACTTAATCAGAAGGTGTGTTGTTATTCATAACAAATATGAAGAATATTTCATACTTTGATATATATTATACAAAATGTATTCTCAGTGATTGATTGGAAAGTTATCTTCTTTAATTATATTTTCAAAAGTTAGAAAAATATTAGCTCTGTAAGGTTTCTTGAAAAATATTTTAAATGCTCATAAAGTAATATTGAAATTTGTTTAAGAATAATTAAGCAAGTGTAGTAACTTTTTTTCCAGGTTGGCTTTATGGAGAACTGTTCATGACTTTAGACCTAACCAAAGTACAAATTGAAATGCTACAGTAATTGAATTAAAACTACTGACAATGGGCCATTGAATCACAGCTATTTAAAAAATCACGTTTACAACCAATTGAACAAGTATTATTTCTGAGTCATAAGATGAATGACACTAAAGTAATACATTTAGGGATGGTATTTCAAATGGTAATGAATTACTTTTAGTCTGTGAATACAGGGATGCAGTTCAAAAACAATTCTCAAAGCTACAGAAAAAAAAAAAGGCCACACATTTATTAAATGATGATAAGTGGACTTTGCTATGTCCCTCATGGACATGTGTCAATTTGTCTCTTGTTTTAGAATTTGCTTCATGAGATATCATGTCTACCTTTCTATATATCATTGCTAAAATGCATAGGAAATAAAATTAATCCTTAGTTTATATGAGTAATAACTTCCTTATCACAAGGTAAAAAAAACTTTTCCCACAATCTATAGCACATATGGCAGATCCCCTGCTCCTGTATAGTGAATATGCCTTCATCTCCTGCCATCATCCTGGCCTCTGGGGAAAAAAATGAATATTTAAGTTGATTCTACATTGTTCCTCCTTTAGATGGAACTCTTGGAAAAGAGGATAGCTGGTGAAGATAACCAAATTTCTCTTCTACTCAGTCAATTCTAATCTTAGTTAAACATTTTTTCCAAGAAGCTTTAAAAAGTGAACATTCATTGTTACTCCTCTTTTGAATCTTATGCTTATCTTTAAGTATTTTAAAAAGTTTAGCCTCACTATTAGGCTCTTAAGACCAAACTTGTCACTCTTCTTCCAAATAGTTCTGCTGAATCTTGCCCTCCCTACACAGAAAGGAAGCACTGAACTCTCTTGAATGGGGGTGGGAGTGGGGGTGATAGTTGGTAGGGGGTGACAGTCAGTAGTGAGGGTAGGATAACAGAGGCCTTGGCATGTCACCTAGCCTACAGGAAAAGTTGAGCTGATCTGACAGGAGATAAATACCATTGCACAGAGGGAGAGATCGGCTGGACAGTGAAGTAAACAGTAAAGGATTTTGATTGTCAAATGTAAATAAACCTAAGAAAACTGTGAACATGTCCATTAAAATGTTCACAGGGGTGGATCTGTGACTGAAAATAAATAAACAAGTCCTGTGCCCTTATTGAATAAGTAGATTTCACCATTTCTCATATCAGTCTGTCATTTTATTCCACTTCATTTCCTTTTGAATGATATTATATGCTATACTTTAGTACAAGGAGTGGAAGTATTTTTAGTTAGCTTTATACGTATTTTGCACTTATTTACTATTTCCTTTGTATGTACACGTGGGTACCCCAGTGCCTGTGTGGAGCTCAGAGGACAACTTGCTGGAGTCATTTCTCTCCTTTGACTATGTGAGATCTAGGCAATCACCCTCAGGTCATTTACAGACTGAATCATTTTGCCAGCTTTTTGTACCTTTTATTATTAGAATTTTTCAAATTTGTGTTTAGAATTTGTATTTTTTGCAAAATCATTTTTTTCTTTTGTATATATGTATAGTGTAGGTATATACATGTCTGTGTGTATTCATGTGTGGCAGATTACACATACACTTATGTACATGTTTTTGGAGGCCAGAGGTATATACTGGGTATCTCCCTCAATTGCTCACCACCTTATACTTTGAGACACCATCTCTCTCTGCATCTAGCATTCAGTGATCAGCACACTCCAGGGGTCCTCCATTCTCCTGCTCCCCAACACTGAGACTATAGGTATGGAACCATTCATGTCTTTTTATTTGACTTCTGGAGATCCAAAGTGATTTTCTCCTGCTTTTTGTAGATCAAACCATTTTGCTAGCCATTTTCTACCAAGTTCTTTTAGCGTGGTTAAGTGTTAATGGACATGCAGGCTAACAAGGTACCGTGGACTGCCACAAATGACACAGCAAACTACTCAAAGGCAACTTGGGTCTGTAAGACTCTTCAGTTGATGTTTTTGCTTTGGCAAAAT